GTCAGCTTGTTTGCCATTCTAAGTTGTATACAAAAAAAATTAGTCACGATGGTTTCCAAGGGAGACCACACAGAACTCGACCTGACAGAATATATTGCTAGCAATGAGACTGATAGTCTGCATTACTAACATACTTTCCTCCCTCTGGTAAGAGGGTTTGGTATAGCACTTTATTCAGAGTTTTTTTCTCTTACACATTATTATGTGTAAGAAATAAGATATCATATTGCAAGAGCATTGCATTACATATGGGGAGATATTTCATCCAATTTGAAATGTTTTCGTAAATATCTCATTTCAGACATTCAAAGTGTAAAAGGCATACAAAAGCTATATTCAATCGAACTATTCTATCGAGAATCTCCAAAACGAAGTTGTTATCTCGGCAGCTCTCACGTTTTGTTGAATTAGTAAGAGGGTACAGACAAATGGCCATGTAAGAAACACAGAACGATCTTCAATTCTCTCAGAAAGCGATAGTACTCCACTAGTTACGATAATAAATAGGAGCTTAACGCTAGCAAATGGCCGATTAGGGCATTCTTGACTACAACACGGGCATTCTGATAAAGTTAGCGTTTGCTTTGTAACGACCCTCGTGGGTTTTATGGAAAACAAATAAATTACTCTTCGTCAAATCACTGACGTGTAATATGTTTACTGTTTTATTGATTCCTCTATATACGTTACACCCTAAGGTTACACCCTCATATAATTACACCGTTATCTAAAAAAAATATTCAAACGGAGCAAGCAATTTTTTTTTAATTAATTTCTAGTTATTCTATAATATAACATACATTATGTACACACATTCGCTCCATTTTATCCAACACACCATGAGTTTTTATATATACACATAAAACAATTAAAAGAAACACACAAAATGTTACGATAAATGTAGGTAAGTTGGTAAGTATACGAGTATGCTTGTTCAGATTGTGTACTAAGATTATATGTAATGTAACTGATGAATACCCATAAACTTTTCTATGTATCATTTTGTACTCTGTTACAGCTAAGAGTTTATGACTAAAATCTTAATGATTTTATATCTCTCCACAAATATCTACGTATTGAGTAAATATTAATTTTAATTTAGATTGGTGATCGAGAAACATTGCTTAATTACTGCCTGTCATTAAACGGAATATTCTAAACCAACAAATTACTAATAAATTATAAATTAGTCAAATTGGATAGTTCGTTACCGTAATGATACGATTCCCCACAGGGATGAAAACTGGTAAGCTCCACTTAGCAACTTGCGCTCTACTAAAGGTTCCATCAATAAGTAACAGGTCTCAATTACTATGTCAAACAAACACTGATGTTTCACATATGGCGTATTTAATTCTTCTCTGTTTCTTCGTATTTTTCAACATTGTATAGTAATAATAAATGCTATGTTTCATACTTACTAGATATAAAACAGCATCTGTATACTGATATTTGACTTGTTCCTACTAAACAAATAATAATTGCAAATTAAAATAATACATGAAGCAGATATATCTGGCTATATAACCCATAGACTTAGTAGTTATACTATGTTAATACGTATGTTAATACGTACTAACAGACTGGAAATGTAATAACAAAAAACGAAACGATTAAGTGATTACACTTGCGTGTGTGAAATGCGTGTAAACATACGACAACAGTGCTGCGCCATGCACATTCTATCATTACATGATTTATCGACACTGATAAGTAAATACAAACTCAAAAGTTTCAAACAACTTAATATAACAATTGGTAATATTAAAAGTTAACTATAATTTATTTACCTAACTTCAGTACACATATAATCAACTATACGTAGTATGTACAAATTATGTAATAAAAAACATCAAAAGTAGCTCACAGTTAACAAATATATTATAAAATGCATGTACAAAAAATATATTCAAATTGAGAAACATTAATGACAACAAAAAATATATCTTTGATTTATTTATTCTGTTCGAAATCCATAGTAATTATTCTAAAATATTAACTTGATATACTTAATTTAATCGGAAATGCTACCCTTATCAAAAAAAAAATAAAAAATTACTTAGATATTGACGCTATAGAGTAATGACCTCAAATATATGGCTGAAAATCAATATGTTACTGTGTATATATATATATATATATATATATATATATATATATATATATATATATATATATATATATATATATATATATAAAATATTCGTTACGGTTCTAAATATTGTATTTAAATAACTAAAATGTTTCAAGTGTACTAATATATACATAACTATACTTAAAACGTATTACTTAGATACAGCACACTTAATCCTAACTACGTTCATTTAAAATTAGTTCCACTTCAAAACGTAAAAAAAAATACATATGGTTTTGTTCATACTCCCGCCAATTCAGCTTCGTGCATAATTGTGGTAATTCTTCAAAGCTTCTCTTTCACTGGCAATAAATAAATTAATATAAAAAAGTACAATAAATAAAAAAGGTCCGAATGTACAATGTTATTGTTATTATGTTTTGTTGGTATCAATTGATTTAATAACAAGTATTTTGTGTCAAGCAATACCAACATTTACTAAAAGCTAATGACTATGGAAACACTATGACATGAGGTTTATTTTACATTCAGAAAGAAAATTTTCGTATTTTTAATATTATAATGTAAAAATAAAAAAAAATCTGAATAGAAATACGGGTACGTAAACTAAAATTTATCAGGATAATTAGAAATAAGTAAAACATTTATTAACAAAATTTGCTCAGCTCATTTGCCGAGATTCTCTCCATTAGACCTTTCATTAAGCACAATTGAAGAAATTAAAAGCTTATGGTTTAATTAAGTTAATTTCTAAGTCCATTCCGGCCTCATCACACTCAATACTAAGTAGGTATAATTTTTAATTATTTTTCCAGTTTATTGGCTTTTACAATGTAAATAGACGGCGAATAATTTTATTATAAGTATTATTTAATGTATAAATTACCTAAACTTTCAAGCAATTATGAACCAATATTATCATTAATACCTAACAATTGAAGCTGACACGATAAATAGGTACCTACGTTAAATCAAAGTTAAATAGAAGTCCATTTACATTCTTTATTCATAATTCAAATAATAGGCACATTATTATAATCATACATAGCCCAATCTGTATTGTATTTTTCAATAGATATTCTATGTGATGAAACAATAGAAATATTGTTTCATCACATAGAATATCTATATATTTGTTCTTTTGAACAAAAAAGTATGGAGAAGCAATCTGCCGATATTTTTAAACTTCTTGAAATCTAAGGAAAATAGACAGCAGACTTAAAAAAAAGAGAGGGAAATATATCTGTACAATAAATATATATTTTAATAGTACTTTTAACAACTGTCTCTTTAACTGCTCTCTCTCTCTCTTCGTCCTCTTCATTACTGAAGGTCGTGTCCTTGAAAGGTGTTTGTTGCCTCTCTTATGATGTTATTCCATTTTACACGGTCTTTAACTGCTAATAAATTGTAAATCCCCATTTGGCAGTTTTGTTCATAATAATTTGCTTAATCCATTTTGTAAATAATTATTTCCTTTTCTCCCTCTAAATATGTATTATATAAAAAGTAAATTACTTGTAATTTTCCAGAACATTCAATGTAGCTCTTAAAATTAACTTAATTTTGTTGATATTCCTACGACCATCACAGTGTCCTAAAACGACTAAATGTGGGCTAACTTTGGAATCAAACACCACATTACCAGCTGCACTCAACTTGATTAACTAAATTGGGCACCGAGCTAAAAGGCTAAATAGAAGACGAGATTCCTAATAGAAACTACATAAAAATTACAGGTAAATCTGTTTATCCTACCTCTATCAAAGCAAAATTTATAATTTATATTTTCAGCATATATGCTACTTGATTAAATATAGGTACCTCGCATCATTGTTCATATAAATGGATAAAAATACCTATCCTTATAATCGGTGTTCCAAATTGCATTTAAAAGTGTTAAACCATATTAGCATGATTGAGTGATAAACCATCCAACAACCATCCAAACATCTTTACAAATTACATCTCTGAACACAATACACCCAAGAGCTTTACATTTATAATATGATACCACCATTCATACTAAATGCTTCACTCTGTTATTCATTGCGAATAGCCTGCGTCTTATATTTCCAAATTTAAAAAGTAACTCTGTATCTATGTACAATGAAGAAATTAATACTTAACTAATGACAAACTAATAACTAACTACCTACATGCTTTACCTTAGCCGTCGTTCATAACAACATTATCCTGGATGCTTAATAATGATGAAATATTAAGGTTACTTTGCTACTTTGGTTATCTTACTAGTATACGAATATGTAAATGAAAGTTTGTAAAGACGTTTTGATGTGTTTTACAATCACGTCACAAACGTCTGAACGATTCCAATGAAATTTAGTAGACAGAGGAACCATAATCCAGATTAATAAAAGAATATTTTCATTCTAATTAATGCGAACAAAGTCACACGATACAATTAATTTTACATCCTTACTTACGGCTCAACCAATTTATGACTATGGTATCATTTTCATTGATTACATAGGCTATTTTTTATCCCAATCATTAAAATTAATCCAGGTCATGTGGACAAAATCTCGGTAAAAACTAGTATAATATAAATAATATAACAATCTATAAATACTACTGTAATATACAAACATGATATATAAGTGTTGGATACAATTATTATATTTTACATAGTTTCTATGTAAAATATAATAATTGTAACAACTCTATATTATGTACACGAATACATTAAAATAAACAAATAATGTCAAACTAACAAAATTAAATTTAACAAAAAACAAACTAAGCCAACTCCATAGATGACGTTTTTCTTTTTTAATGTAACGACATCAAACTCGGTATCGATGTTCATTTTGATGTTTATTCGAAAAGTTTATACACAATAACGTTTTACTCAGAAGTAAATTATAGGAAACCTACAAAAATCATGAAGGATACGAGAGCAAAAGAAAAGAAAACATTCAAGACGAAACGTGATAATTACGCAAGGAAGCTGAAGAAAAAGAAACTAATCAACTATTTAGGAAACGAATTACGGAGTTGTAGTACGCATGGTCTGCCCTATATTGTTGAAAAGAATACACATTGGTTTGAAACGTATGTACCTACTTAAATATAATTTTATTAATTACATAGTTAATAGTTACATAGTTAGTTTTTATTTAATTATACAATTCTAAAAATGAGATACCAACGCAGTTGTATATTAATATTGCTGCTATTAATTTTCCTGTAAATTTTAATTCGTATTACCTATTTAAACAAAGCATATTAAAAAAATCCGTTTGAATGAAATCAAATGCAAAACAAAATCTTTTAAGTGTAAATGTATATATGTGAGTATATTTATTGTTAGCTTCAGATGATTATCACTCATTCGGTCACTTAGAAAAAAAAATTTTTTAATACATACATATACATGTTTGTTGAACTACTATACATAGAACATAAATGATAAAAAGGAACCTTTAGCCGTATAAAGCAGAGACGTCAAGATTAGAGACAATGTTTCATGTGATTCCCATTGAACCTAGACGCGATACTTTTTTCATAAAATTATACCTATTGCTATAATATAAGTATCTCATATTGTAACGATATAAAAATCTTTCAGTAGGGTGCACCTTATCTATATTGGATTAAAGTCAACTATACGGAACTCGCTGGGCAAAGTAAATCTGTTTTATTTGCACTTTGTCCACTTTCAACAGAGCTTTGCACATTGTTATCTTAGTTCTAAGTTTACAGGTGCGAAAATATTAATGCAGTGTTTAAATGGAAACATGCTTAACAAACACGTATTTTAATTTAAACAGTATATTAATTACGCTAAACTAATTATATCTACGGTGGTAATATTTTATATTTTTTTTTAGTATATAAATTCCATACATATGTTGTCAAACGAATATATATTTTATATTTAAAAAAAAAACAATATCTGCGGGCTACAATCCAGGCATGAAGCAGGTTATAAAAATTTATTACATGAAGTGATCGATTAAGATTCAAATCGCGGACTTAACAATACGAGTAGGTATACAACGCATTTACTGTTGCGCCAAGATTTTTCTTAGCAAATAGACAGCTGCTACAATAATGACTAAATTAGTTGACCTTATTTATTTATTATGTCACCAAATTAATATGTAGAAATTAAAATGGGAAACGCTATCGATAGCAATGTTAAACTCAATTAATGAAATATCGCGTAACACACACGCAAAAAATAAACAACTTGATAGGCTTTTTCTTTTTGAAATCACTTAAAACGTAACGATAAGGGTATAATACGAAATCAAATAAGGTATTTAACAATCAATTAATCAATCATTTGACCGCGGGAATTGTACGAAGGATTATTTTTCGTAATCCGACTTTCGGAGACCTTCTCTGGGGAAAGTTGTTTCATGTTGTTTACTTTCAGTTATACGTTGTATAAGCCCAGTAGTAAACATAGTTTCTCAACCAGTTAGATATATTTGGGTCGCAACAATTTAAACTTTATGAGTGAGGTTCTACCTAAGCGATAAATAAACAAAATACCTGCAGGGCTTTCTGGACGACCAGCTTCGTGTGCTGCCTTGGTTTAGCATCATCATTGCTCTTAACTCAATATACTAGATATGTCGTAAGTATTACAAACTTTTGCCTTTTACTGTAATCATACCTGTAAATAGGTAAATGCATCTAGACTATTGGTTTACATTGGTGAGGTACCATTGAGGAATGACTAGTGAGAATATAACCAGATCATTTGGCTCGTTACGTCTATTTCACCAAGATGATAATCAGAATTACTGAAAAACGAAAGTCGAAATATAAAATAGATGAAGTAGGTACCTGCCTAGATTTGAGGTGAGACTGAATCATGACCCTCCGATATACATACGAAAATATAATATATAATTAATTCCTTAAGTGGTGTAATAAAGAGTAAATTAATAAATAATACGAAACTCAAGGTACCTAAGAGGAATAATAAAATAAGAAAATAGTTATAATATTAATGTAATAATTTCAGAATACTCCCATAGTTATGAGCGTAGAAAAGGACTATTTCAATTGGAATATTTCATATCCAGCCATAACATTATGTCCATTGGAAAAAATAGACGAAGATGATTTAAATACATTGGTCAAGTAAGTTATTTTTAACCATCCTACATTCATGATTATTAAGGTTCCATCAGGGTCAGAAAACTGCAAGTAATATTCCTAATACTGCAGGTGTCTATATGCTACAGTAACTGTTTACTATCAAAAGGTTGTATGCTTGTTTTCCACTTTTTTGATACAAAAAAAAAACACTTATATTTGTAAAACCTTTGTAAATTATAGTTTATTAATTAAAAAAGGAGGTAGGTATATGTATTTTTTAATCGCACATGACTAAACACATTTAAATGAATTCAGCAACTTAAATGAAGTCTAACACAATGATATTCCTATATTTCCTTAATAAAGCAAATAAAAATCTAAAATACATTTACGAGTACTATAAGACTTAATACATATTTTATTGTATTTAGCGAAACCCTGGATTCTGTTGGAGTGGATATAAATTTACAATTAAGAACAATCGCTTCGATATCTTTAGAGACAATTGATTTCTTAAGCGCACAATTTACAAACACATCTGAGGTATGTAACAAGTACTGATAACAGGTACTCCCTCGCATTTAAATTTAAATTCCTCCCATCACCCGTACCCAATAGCGAGGACGGGATGTTGTAAATACCGTACCGCAACCCACAGCAAAAATGGATACATTTCACTCTTCTATTATGTTGTGATGGTAAATAGTAATCGTACAATATCGTGCCGTAGTATTGTAAATTATAAAAACGCCTATTAAATACGATAGTTTAACAACATACATTAGTGCCAGAATTCTGGTGTTCCCGTCTCATTTTATGGATTTGAGTAACAAATTTATGACAGCACTCACGCCAACGAAAAAAAAATACAAACCAGAGGTACCGAGTAACCCGATAAAGGACAGGAGCTTTCTCTTGGATCAAGAGGAAAGGAATTATTAGTAATGGGATGTACGGCCCCATTGCTAGCAATATATCGTGTTAGGTCGACCTCCACGCAATTCTCCACGGAAACCATAGTAATTGTTATTGAATTCGTCATTTCTGTCTCGCCAATGTAAATCGATAGCGCAGGCGAGGTAATCGTTTCATTTCTCCTCATTAAAAACAATCCCCGTGTTTAGTGAAAAATACCAACGTCGATTTGATATGAACCTTTACTGTTGCGTAGCTGTAACACCATATTGAGATATTTCTCCTGTGCTAGATGGCGTATCAGGAAGGAAACAAAAAATTAAAATGGGCATATTTTGTTCATACAGTAACTACAACAGCCGACTATGCTTCTTCTATGAATCCCAATCAAGATTAAAGTCGTGAACATGTCAAATTTTAATTTTATTTTTCATAATGGATAACATTGAGCAATGTTTAATGTTATTACGAGGCATTTTTTTATATTGTTGTAATTTTTAATTAAATTTCTAGAAAATCATATACCCAAAAGATTATATGGAAATAATAACTGCTATAGGTAAAAAAATAAATAATAACTCGATAAACACGAACACTAACTGGCCTATATCAGTAGAATCATCCATGACAGAAATGGGAATGTGCCACGTCATCAACTCTAATGTTGCTATATTCGATAACCCTGAGTAAGTAATACAAGTGTATCATATATAGGTGGATAAATAAAAACAGTGCCTGCGATATTATAATTACAACCTATTTACTATATCATAGAATATACACCCCTTGGCAAACAATAACCACCATTACAGTACAATAAAACATCTTTAAATTGTGATAAAATTATGAATATATTAATCATAACAAGTAGTCTGTGTGGTTCCGGCATAGAATAGGCCACCCCTTCCTATCCCGTGGGTGTGGTAAGAGCCGACTAAGGGTGGGCGAGGGATGGGAAGCAGCCTCCCTCTTAAAACATCTCTAATGCCCGACTACGGTTGTCAACCCACCTGCCAAGCGTGACAACTACTGGCAACCCCCTTTTTCCAGGGGGAGGCTTATGTTCAGCAGTGGACAGTTAAAGACAGTTAAACCATGGCTGATATGATGATGATAATCAGAACAAAGAATTATGATATTATTTTTAAAGAAATTGTTAACTTTGTATAGTTGATACAAATTCTACATTTAGTTTCAAAATATAAGAATCTAGTTATATAATTTCTATAAAAAAATTCATTCTATATAAATACGAGCTCAAATTACTTCGTTACATGATACATTTTTAATCTTATCCTATAATTATGTGAGTTTTTTTGTTTGTTTGTTATCTAATAGCGCCTTAACGGTTTAACCACTTGATATGAAATTTGGTATACACGTACTAAAATAGGATAGAAAAGCATATAGGCTACTTTTTATTCCAGGCCGTAAAATATCTTCTGATGAATGAAGTCTTGAGTAAAAACTAGTATTTAATATTCCCAAATGTTAGGTAGAAAATTTTTAAATGTTTTAAACATATTCTTTCTTCTTACATCTGGAATGTTTAATGATAAGGATGAAGGTATTTTTATTATTTTCAGCTTGCGAAGAAACGACGACATAAAATATGTTAAAAAAAACATTGATCTCTCAATTTACGACAGAGATTTTTTCTCCCAAATTTCAAATTACGCTGACGTTTACAAGGTAACAAGTAATGCAAAATACAAAAGACTATGGAATCATTTAAAATTATATGCAAACAAAAAATAGCTATATCAAAAATTACAAAATTAATATGCGACCAACACGATGTAAAAGTATCATCAATATCCATTCAAATTTGTTTACAAACACACAAATGTTACTTTACTTATATAATAATATTTCTGCAATAATTTTTGAGTGTACCTAACAAAGGTGCTAATAAATCGAAATTGATAGTTCTTCTAATATATCTCCTATTTGTGTATTTGTCGACTTGTCTGTGTATCTGCGGTTAAATCTTTCATGTTAAAGACTTGACCGTTTGTGATGAATATTACACAGGTAATAATATAAATACGAATATAAATGAAAATTTAAAATTAACCCTTACGGGAGGTAAACAACTTCTTGCGTACTGTGGTCGATCATTCCAATCGAAAGAAGACAATAGGTTTGATTCCGAAGCGCGATTTCTTTTAAACTGTCTCTTAATTTTAATATGATAAATTCACGAAATTAGTGTGAATAGACTGGACCGTCATAAAGTAAATTTATAATATTGATAGAAATCTATCAGAAATTTAATTCATATTAGAATTAAGATGTCATTGTGATATCAAATTCTAATTTTAGGTTAGAAGATTAGAAAAAGATTTACAGATTTAGAAAAACGGCGCCTCAGAATCAACCGCAATGGCAATGAAATGATAAGGTAATGTGAGCCTTCATGTCACAAGGCTCAACATAGCATAGGCAATGCCTCCGACGTTCATAGGCTACACAGATCATACACCTAATTGGACAAAATGGTTTCGATAAACCTTATCTAAAGTTTTATCTTGTATTATTATACCTCATATTGCCTATTATATATTATAAATATGGCAACACTGCCTTCACATAACAGTTAATCTCTGTGTTGAATATTTCTTAAAAAATAAATAAATATCTAAAGCATTATAAAATAGTGTGCGATATTTGTAATAAGATACAAAGATTATGTGATAATGTTATCTCGTCGCAATATTAAGTATTAAATAATATAAATTAAATTAGCGAAAGGTGCTGTGCTGATATCATCAAGTTGTCCAAACAAGTTTTAAACTGAAGAATAATAACTCTTCAAAGAAAGAATAATAATATATAAATAGTGTAAAACCATCTATAAAGTGTCTTGAATAAAATAAACAAAGAATTGAAAACAGATAAAATAAATGTGGGTACATGAAAAAAACAGTGCAAAAATAAAATAATGATATTTAAAATTCAATAACTGAATAACGACTTCGAACTGAAAAAGTACTATTATAATACTTAATTTCAACTGTACTCGCAGCTCTACGGTAGCCTAGAGGGTTAAGGTACACCACTACGGTTACTGGTAACGAATGGACTTAGGATCGAATCCTGCACCTATGATTACTTTTTGTTAATATATTAAGGATTTTCGAACACTTATAATTTAATTATTTTTTTATTAAGACAAATATGTCGTCAAGAAAGAAAAAATTATTATGTACAAAATGCACTTATGACATTAAAACTAAAGAGTATCTTCAATGTTTCTCATGTGAATTGATATACGATCTGCAATGTGCTAATGTATCCATAAAGCGATTTACTCTCATGACCAAAATAAATAAAGACACCTGGAAATGTAGCGGATGTTTAAAAAAAAACATACCTAAACAAAGCACTCCTATTGGTACAAATACCTCCAATTTTCAAGCTACAACTAGTGTGGATAAAAACGCTATCAAAATTCAGAAAGTGCAGCAATCACAAAAAAATATAACTCATCTACGAAGGTGCCATAAACGTAGTATTTCTATCGATAATATACCAATGAACATAACAGATGACTCAATTTCTTCAAATTCTACTTATAACAATACCAGCTATAATAGTCTCCCGACGCCTACAGATAACACATGTATTCTGCAATTGAAAGATGAAGTACGTCTTCTGACAACGCAACTGGCTAGCGCTCATGAAGAAATTGAAAATTTAAACTTGGAAAATAGTAAACTTAAAAAAATTTTGGAAGGAAAAGAGATGAAAATTAACGTCTTAAATGAAATGGTGAAAGTGGACAATATATCTACACCGCAAAAACGTGCTGCTAGTTCTCGTAAATCGAAAAAACAAAGAAACTCAGTGCTGTCAACAACTGTAAAGTTTCATAAGGATTTAATTAATACTGTTCATACATCCCCATCTGAAAATGAAGCACTGAAAAAATCAGAAGTGCTCTCAGAAAAGGCTAAAAAGGATATAAATTTTAATAAACCTGCAAACAGTAAACCTAGTAGCAACATCTATATTTTTGGAGGAAATCAATGTGCAGGGCTAACAGAAAAACTCATGAACACAAGAGAGAACACACAATACAAGAAATATAAAATAACAGGATTTGTAAAACCAAACGCATTGACTGAAGAAATAACACAGACATGTAAATTGTATAGTTTTCATGAATACGACAAAATCATTATTTCAGTCGGGGAAAATGACACTAATCCGTTTGAAGTAATGATTGAATTAAGTAATATCTTGAAATTAACTAGAATGTGTAACGTAATTGTTCTCAGTGTATCTCAAAATCGACATTTAAATGTAAACAATCTTAATTATATATTGCGTCATGTTTGTCAAAATTTTAAAAATTCTACTTTCATCAATTTAAAAAACAAGGAATACTATACAGCATATTTATATAACATGTGTCGGAAGATTAATTTTATTATAGATACTATTGACTATGAAAACACGTTTCTTCCTACCAAACAAGCAAAGAGTACCATTCAGCCTATCCAACGTTCTAGACGATTTCCTGTACGTGGAACAATCCCCTATTACTTTCCCAAATTACAAGAAACAGTTTCTTACAATAATACGTCAAAAATTATTCCGAAAAAAGGTACTATTCCATTTTATTTTAGAAAAAAAAATAATAATACAACAAATAAAGCAGATGTGACGGAATTAAAAGAGACTACTCTAAAAGAAAATAAAGGATTTTTTCGTTCTTGAAACTTACTTTAGAATTATGCATCAAAATGTGGCCGGCTTATTGAGCAAGTCTGATGATTTGGAGATAGTGCTTGCTGAAATGTTAACTAAGAAAATACATATTGACATAATTTGCTTATCCGAAACTTTTCTGAAGGATGGTCAGGAATCAAATGTTCATATGCGCAACTATGAACTTGCCTCACACTTCTCTAGGAAGAATAAAAAGAGAGGTGGCGTATGTATATTAATTAGAAAAGGAATAAAAGTAAAACCAATACCGGTTTTGAGCAGTTCTGCTATTGAAAGACATTTTGAATGTTGCGGCATAGAAGTTCCCGATCAAAATCTTATAATTATTTGCTTATACAGAACTCCAGATTCCGATACCACTATTTTTATAAATAATTTAGACAAAGTTTTGTATCATATAACTAATAGAAAAGTAACCAGGAAAATAGTATTATTGGGCGACCTAAATATAAATACATTGATACAATCGAAAGAATCTAAATTACTTGGAGACTTAATAAAAAATTATAACTTAATACAACACATCACGGGGCCGACAAGGAAAAATTCGTGCATTGATCACATATTTAGCAATATACATAACAGTACAAGTAACTTGTTATACCTGGATATATCAGATCACGAAACTGCGCAAATGTTAGCTTTTCCGACTAACCATAAGAGGACTCCTATAGTCTGGTATAAATATTACAGAGAATATAACCAGGACAACATTGCTAAGTTTCGCCATCATCTCAGCAGCCTCTCATTTTCAGACGTATTTTGTGAAAATGATATTAATCAGGCATTTAATAATTTTCATGATACATTCAAGTTACTATATGAATCAAATTTTCCTAAAAAAATTATAAAAATAACAAATAGTAATAGAACACCACGGTGGATTACTAAGGGTCTCAGAAAGAGTTGCAAAACAAAGAGAACATTGCGATATGAATACTATAGAAACAGCAATCAAGAGAACAAAATTAAATATATGTCTTATGTAAAAAAACTTAAAAAATGCATAGCTGTATCCAAAAAAATTACAAATAATAAATACATAAAACAATCTAGGAATAAATGTCTCACAGCTTGGAAAATCATACAGAATAAAATTGACTCGGTTATTAATAATAATTATATAAACGAAATAAAATTTGACGAAAAAATTATAACTGACTCGAAAGAAATTGCTAATATATTCAATGATTATTATACTGATTTGACATATAAAAATCAAAACAATGGAAATGATAAGACTGACCAAAATTTTATTAAAATGCAGAACACAACACTTAGCAACACTCTATTTTTAAAACCATACGTTGTGTTTGAAATTTATAACATTATAAAATCTTTAAATAACACAAGTTCGGAGGGATATGACGAGATATGTACGAAAGTGATAAAAGATTGTGCTGAAGAAATATCACCTATATTGACGTATTTAATAAATCTTTCATTTGAACAAGGACAGTTCCCGACTCGATTAAAGTATTCTGTTGTAAAACCTATTTACAAAAAGGATGATCCACTGCTTATACATAATTATCGTCCTATTACTCTTATTACTATCTTAGCAAAAATATTTGAAAAAGCTATGCATAACAGACTCACAGTATTTTTCGAAAAATTCAAAGTAATAATAAATGCACAACATGGTTTTCAAAAAAATAAATCGACAGAATTGGCTATTTATAACTTGACAAGGAATATAATTGACAACATAGATAGTAAAAATAAAACTGTAATACTTTTCTTTGACATGAAAAAAGCATTTGACTGTGTATCTCATAAAGTACTTTTAAGCAAACTGTACTCCTATGGTATTCGGGGGCCAGCTTATAGTTGGTTAGAGAGTTATCTGGCAAATAGATATCAACATGTGGAAATTATTCGTCTGGATAAAAAATCAGTATTAACATCATATAAATCAAGTAGTAAGCACAATGGCTACGGTGTACCTCAAGGAAGTATTTTGGGGCCTTTATTATTTCTTACTTATATAAATGATTTACCTAAGGTTACAAAACATGAATGTGTATTATTCGCTGATGACATTTCTGTTACTATTACATGTGACTCAGAGAACTTGGGAAGTTTTGAAGATGAGATTAACCTAACAGTTAATTCCATCATACAATGGCTTAAAGAGAATAATCTTACTGTGAATCTTGATAAAACTGGATATATTCAATTTAGAAACAAAGGTGAAACTGAACTTGGACTAAATATAAAATATAACAGCGAAAGCATCAAGTCACTTCATGAAACCTCATTTCTTGGAGTCAAAATGGACTATAATTGCAACTGGAAAGCCCAAATAGATAAGGTCTGTAACAAAATAAATAAATTTGTATATGTCCTTAGAAGATTAAGTAAAACTACTGATGAGAAAACAACCCTGATGGCATATCACGGATATGTAGCCTCACAATTGCGATATGGCTTAATAGTATGGGGTAATTCCACAGACATTAATAAGGCTTTCTTGGTACAGAAGAAATGTATCCGTGCTCTTTGCGGCCTTCCACCATGGAAGTCTTGCGGACCACTATTTAAAAAATATAAAATACTTCCACTAGCTTGCATGTATATTTATGAAGCAGCTGTATTTGTTAAGAAAAATATAAACAGCTTTATTACTGCCAAAGAACATTATCCGCGAAATAGAAGAAATCCAAATAGACTAGTATTAAACAGAATTCCTAAGACTACGATTTATCAAAAAAATTGTTATAATATGTGTATAAGAATTTTTAATAATATACCCGAAGATATTATAAATATAAAAACACTGACAAAATTTAAGAACACACTGTACAAATGGCTTTTGGACAAATGTTATTACTCAATTAAGGACTTGTTGGACTAAAGAATAATTCTACTCTATAAGCACATAAATAATATTTTGTTGATAGTATTAGTAGTAGTAGTATTTAGTAGAAAAGAAGTTACCATAAATATTAAAATTTTGCATGCCATTGTTTTGGCAAAACACGCCTGTTCCTAACATATTATTGCTAACATATGTATACCGTGTTTTTCAGCAAATAAATTATATTATTATTATTATTATTATTATAAAAGAGCCATCGGCTCAAATTTCTGAAAACTTTACAGGTTTATATTCACCACCCTAACGAGATAGTATTAAGTACTACGCCATCATACACTATAAACCTCGAAGGCTTTACATATTTAGGGGTACAAGTGCGGAGTACCCGCGCATCCAACAAACTGCGAAATATACCCCTAACATATCGAAATTGCAGGTGATTATAATCTCTTTGTTTAGTCAATTTATAAGTATGTATGTTAAATAATCATTTAACTTTACAGATTTTTAGATGAACCAATAAGCAAAAGATATCCTATATATTCCTATAATCACTGTATATTAGAGTGCAGAATTCAAATGATATTGAAACTATGCAACTGTTTGCCTCATTTCTATAAATATATGAGTAAGTTTAAAAAAGTTTCTTAGTTATTAATAATAAATATTAATTTTATATGCTACTCTATAGGTACAAGATTTCATGAAAAATTTTGGAAAGTAGTAGTAGGTAGATTAACTATCTCTTATATACATTCCAAGAAGTGGCAACTTGCAACAAACGCTCATTTTATTCTAGGTAACCTACATCTATTCGATAGTAATTAATTAATAATATTTTATATTATTAATAATATTTTTTAAATAAATAAATACCCATCTACTTACATGCCTATTTTCTCTTCCATGTACAGACTACGAAAAAATATGTGATCTCTATGAACTCAAATGTATTATACTATATAAAATGGAAATCATTAAATTATCTACTTCCGAAAATACTTGGAATAAATTTGTAAATAAACAGGGACTTCCAAGATCACCCCGCGACTGCGGCTGTGTCGATAGTTGTGAAAAAGATGTTTATCTCAAAGAACAGGAAATCTACATAAGTCAAGGTGACAAAAGATTAAGAATTGGTGTATCTTCTTTTCCGAAAGTCAGAGTTGTGAGGGAAATCATATTCAGCGTATACGATATGATCTGTAAGTAAAACAATGCGCTATAAAACATTTTAAACGTAACAACAATGTTTTTAAAACTCGAAATGATAATTTTGTTCATATTTTTTAAAATAACACTTCGAAATGCGCGATTAATAAATTAACAAATGTCTAATGATAAATACGTAAATATTGTTTAAAAATACTCTATAAAATTATGAAAGAAACCTTTATTCATGATAAAGTATTTTAAATATTCATTTCTAATAACTACTGGATTGGAAGTCTGTCAACAAGTATAAACGAGTTTAATTTTTTAATTAATCTCACAGTATTATTCCTTATCTATTAACCTCATATTAACATGTACATAATAAATATTAGGAATAAAAGAGAAATATTGTTCAACTATTGTTAATAAATTATACTTAGGGTTTAATTAACTATTTTCCAATTAAATAAATATTATTAGATTAGCACTAATAAAAATTCTTAATACATTCATTGCTATTATTCTTTCTTTGTCTATGTGACCGTAATTCAATCAACGCATTGTTACAGTGAGGAGTGGCGGTGTCATAAATCTGTGTTTAGGAACATCTATAATTTCCTTAATGGAACTATTAATAATAGCAATAAAATTACTTTGTCTTTTAGTAATACAGCACATTAAATGTATAATTAATTAGATTAAATGGATAAAACAGAACAAGGGTAATAATCAAAATTAAATTATACAACGTTAACTTATATAAAAATTTATTTCATATCTAGGCACATATTTTTAGGAGATTATTATACAAACTATTTCAGTTACAAAAAAGTACTTATACTTATCCTAAACATCGCTTATATACATATTTACACACCTGAAATGAAAAGTACATTGTATTAGTATAATGTAATAATAAAAACAAGTGATATTGGAAAAATAGTATTGTTAGTATAATAACCTTACCAACACGTCGTAACACACATACCAAAATAATGTAGATGTTTTATGGTAATAAGCAGTGTCACAATTTTCGCTTGTCTGAAATGGAAAGTAATATATATACATACAAAACATACTCAAAACATACTACTAGAATAATTAAACACAAGTTCTACTCACCTGAATTATTTACCTCGACTTCCAGCAAGCAATTTATAATTGAATACATTCCTTTCAAAACATTTTGTCTTCTTTCAATCCTCTTAAAATCTTTAGATTTTCATTGTCCTGGAAATTACACATATACAAATTATATTGAAGCATTAAAAAGTAACAACAGTATAAATTATTTTTCCTTAATCGCAAAGTGTACTAGAGAAATTGTTGCAAGCCCTGATACTGAACAACACATCGCCTAGTGGTAATCATTACAAAGTGTTTGGAAGTGGGCAATGGTCATATCGACAATATAAGCCATAGAAATCGTTGACGTCTTCTGACAATCGACGCAATAAATCTTCATGCCACCAGTGATGTCTCAAAGCACGATTCTAAGAAAAAACTGTATTTGGTTGAATGACCATATACTTTCAAGATCCGCAGAAGATTTGTCGTGTATAAGAATCGGTAGAATAATAAAGAAAATAATTACTAAACAACAAGTTTCAATTTATTATTCCTTCATGTAGAACTAATAACCACCAAAAACCCCATGCATACCCATCAAAACAAAAAATGTCCATTCGATGACAGAGAAACTTACCATAAAATTCAACATCTTTTCAAACACACATCGTAGAAAGTGAAGTCATCATTGAGCAAAGTTCGATCTTCAAAAGACACCTTCTTCCAAAGACGATTATTAGTTGGCATTCCCCAACGGTATCATATCTTACAGAAATGAATCGGGAAACGCCTAAGCAAAACGATATGTGGGTCACCGACGTAGATCGTAATACTTGTTTGAAGTTCGAATTAGTGTACAATTAAAGTTATCAAGCGACGAAACTTCGTTTACCTTTCTAGTTTGTAACACCACAAATTATCATTACATTTTACGATAGGCATCCTTAAACCCATTATATACATTATATAACTATAAACGAACAGCTATTAAATCTAGAAAGAATCACAAAATGAAAGTGAATGAAAATGCATAAAATTCGACGCCATTTGTCCTTTCAATTAGAGGCAATGTCTCATGTGAACATTAAGAATCGAGGGACCGCTCCCTACGAATCCAGACAATTCAACAGGTTTGTTTGCTGTTGGTTATACAATTCAATGAGACCATATTTATCTGAATATTCCGAATATGTCAATAACTAACCAATACTATAATCAGCATTACAACCACCTACAAGTTCAAAACAGTTATAAGTAAATAACTTGGCATCCCGTCTCGATACTACAGCACCTTTTATGGGTTCATTTTCAATACAGATAATATCTTTTATAATAATCTACACGGACTTGAAAAAACCTTTTTCGTCTTCTTTAATAAACTTTATTGTGTTAATTAATTACACCTAATACAGCAATCATCAAGACTCTTATGCTAAATACAAATTAAAATACAAGTTTTTATCTGATAAGATTATATGAATGTCAACCAAAAGTCGACACTTTTCTAGCAGACACAAAACGAAGATTCAACTATGCCGCATCCGAGATTTGTACAAACCCCACAATAGATTGACTTCAATACGACATATTCCTGAAAAAACAAAAACATACAATTTCACTTTAAAACAGCGGACAACTACACCAAAGACATGTGTTATAATATTTTTATCACCAAAAGATATGAGTAGATTTTTCAGTAAAAGCGCACTATCACAATTTTGGATTTATAAAAGATACCATCTTCCGGTACTACATTAATATATTTCAAAACAAAATTTCATAATATTGCGTTGGTGAATAATATAAACATCGACCAAGAGAACGTATATGCATGCACTCGGTAGGGTTCCATAGCCAATCTGTTCATTAAATCGAAAACTTATTTTTAATAATACTAAAACAATGTCAAATTGACGCTTATATACTCCAGAACTGCTAATAAGGTCCCTCCACATAATTGTCATACTCGCTGACGAGACTCAAATATTTGAGGAAATTTATTTTGTCCTAGTTTCAAGAAAAAAAAGGTAGATAAAGTTAAAAGCGAAATGAAACCTAAAAACGACACTAATTAGCACCTTTATAATATTTGCATACACTTCAACACAAATAACAAACACTAGCCATCTTATTTATTCTTATGGTTTTAATCACTCCATCCCTTTTAATCCATCCTGTTTTTCATTATATTCCTATTCATTCCTTATTTTATTTTTCAGTTGTTTTCTGAAAGTAGATCGTATCTTTTTTAAAAACTTTGGATATAGAGAAACATACGTTTTTTTCTTCAGCCTGAAATTTTCATCCAGCGGCAACAGAATCGACACAAATACTAAATCCGGAAATTATTTGATTAATATTAAAATAAAATTTGATATTATATAATCTATAATGTTTTTACTTTCAAAATAAAATGTTACTCATTTTTCTATGGTGTGAAAATGTAATATTTCTAAGATTTTTTTAATTATTTATTTTTATAATAGATGGATCAGAGTTGAATACATAAGAAAAGCCGATATAAATAATTATAATACAGTTTAACTTGTGATATTTATATTCATTGTAAAATTTTTAGATCACACTGTCCTACTAAATAAAATTAGAGGAATCAAGTACAATTTATAGGATGAAAAAACCAAGAATCTCTAGCAACCTGGTCTTGGGTCACCAATAAATCATCATACACCTAACGTCATTTTAGTAAGTAAAACAATAGACTGGTTCTAAAGGCACCTATTTTGGCTACGGAACCCTAATATATAAAAATGTATACAAGAACCAAGTTCTTTTGATCGTATATTTCGTCTCAAGGCTCAAATTTTGAAGCAAATCCAGCCAAATGCGTTATTATCCAATCTGTGAAGTATAACCATTGGATAAATACAACGCAACGATCGTCATCACATGAACTTACAGCCTAGCAACTACAACTCTGGCCACATATATACACATACAACATACATGTATATAAAATACAATGTCAGGAAAAATCTACTCATGGCAAAGAAAAATTGCGAACTCTTCTATTGAGAAATCCAAAACAAACTCCATCCTGAACCATATATTTGGCAAAGTAAAAAATAAATATCCGTAATGGCGATCGCTAACGACGATAAAAATCCTTAATTTTTCTATATTAGAAACTTACCATTTTCATTTTTTCTAAAAGAAACGAACGTCGATAGTTCGGCCATCAATGCGTGTCCGGTCAAACATTTCTGAATTTTTAAATTAAGGAATTTTTGCGTAACACTCACAGAAAATTAAATACGTAAACTATAAATAAAAAAAATATAACAGGAACTAGGAAGACGTTAGTAACGTGACTTTTTATATAAATAAATGAAAATAAAATAGTTACCCCACCTCCGCGATTGGTTTAGGCAGCAAGAAATGATAGATAAGGGTGAAGTAGTCTGTTGACCCACGATACTTTCCAAGAAACTATGTGGGGATCAATTTAACCTGTGTATTGCTAACAATACAAATACTATTTGCCGTTATTAACATATATTAAATAAAGCTAGAAGACATTAACACTAAATTATTGGGGGAGAATGGATTGTTAGTAATGGGAATTAGTAGCCCAACTGCTAGCAATATACTATATCAGGTCGACCTCCTCGTGGTTCCCCCCGGGAAACCATCGTGATTTATTTATTGTTAGATTTGTCATGGCGGGCTAACTAACCTGTTTCATCTTCACCTATCATCGCTCACTGGTGCCTCGCCAGCGTATACTGATAGCGCAGGAAGGGTTACCATTCCATATCATCCGTTAAAAAAACACTAGATTATCCCTGCCTAAAACTTATTTATTACCAGTCATTTCCCGCGGTTTTGCCTGTATGAATTAATATACAAAATATTAAACACATATGTGTTATATTACAATATAAACTATCCATGTACCAAATGCCATTTATATCCGTTCAGAAGTTTAAGCAAGATTGAATAAGAAAAATACAAAGATTTATAATATTGTTAGTTTTCATATAAATTTATGTAATTATATCAAAAATATAGCTATAATATGGTGATATTTATTATTATGTTAAAAGGATACTGATGGCTCTCTCTGCGTCCCACTCTTTATGGAAACGAACAATAGCTGTATCTGGGGCAGTCATTTCTGCGAATTTCACGTCGCCACACTCACTAAATTTCTCTCGAATCAATTGCCAAGTAACTGTCGGTGGTAACTAAAAATTATATTAAATGTTATGCCAACATCTCAAAAATTTTGTTTAAAAGAGAAGACATTGCCCATATAGAATTAAATGTATTCAAAAATATGAGAATCATAATATAAATTATTCAGTGACAAAAAGTCAGTGTTTGTGGTTAAAAGTTTCACTACTTATTTGATATCGATCTATTTTGCGTCTATTAAAAAATCAACTGATTTAAACAGCCTGATCCCAACATGGTATTATCATAGAATGTGTAGTACAAATCCCTCCCGTTTCAAATTCTTTTCATACAGTATTGGAATAATATTTTTATACTCCTCTTTTTTGAACTGCCCATCAAAACTATTTTTAATAACTAAATTTACCATTAGAACTATCAAATTGAAATCTGAATTGTCTAGATCATTAGTCTTTAAACAAAGATATAGTTTTGACACTATCTTTACTTGAGGACTAAGTAACTTGATGTTTTTATTATTATTTAACAATTATTAAAGGTTAATTTACATACATTGGTGATCATAACCATGTCGGATTGCTTATCTCTGCCACTTGACTGTCCGACAGGGTCACCACGACCATATCCTTGGCCGGAAACGGACACACCTAATTGCCGGTTTGTACCTAAAAATATGCATAATATCATAAATAACTTCATTGATAATGCTTTTCTAGGTGCCAAAAGAAAATTAAACTAACCTAAAGTGATCAAATATATCATATGATATTAAGTTCTTTACCTGAAAGTGGCCCACTGCTCATACCCGAGCTTGTTCCTAAGACATTATTTGTCAAAGCTGTGTTTCCAAGAACATTTCCAGCCAAGTCAGTATTGCCCAGGCCTAAATTAGCAGTATTGACATTGGCTTGTGCTGTCAAAACTGTGGCTAAATCATTTGCAGTCAAACCCTGCTGTAATAGTTGATTTTGTAGAGCACCTAGTCCAGTTAAACCTAGTGCCTGAAACATTTTAAAATTATTTTAGTCAATATTTATTTATAACTACTTAATAAACCTAGTAATTTACAGAGCATAATATAAAATATAATTAAATGGGCCTCATAATAATCACTTGATATAATTGTTAAATATGCATTGTTGAACATAGGCTTGCATCATAAACTGTCATAAGCATAAGAGACGATCCTAATTAACCGACATCCACTGACTTCCTGCAACACATTTAAGAGCATTCATAACAAAGTATGACATTGTTGTAAGTATATGTCAATCTTAAAAAAACAATTGTGTTTCTGATTCGGTCGTCCTACACTGCATTTGTCCTACTCTCCTTTCTTCTCTATAGATGGTCTGATATGTAGTCTATACGGCTGCCTTATAGCCATGTCAGCTTAGTAATCAATCTTGCTGTAGCACTTATTTTTCTGCTAATAGCGTTTTTCTTAATATGTAAGTACAACCTTTATCACTAAATAATTATGTAATAATACCAATCTACATATTAAAATGAGTTATAATAAAAAAAATACCTGTAATCCCAAGTTTCCACCCAAAGCAGAGTTAGCATTTAATGTATTTGCCGACAATCCTGTTCCAAGACCATTCAAAGCAACTCCAGCAGCTGGTACACCACCCAAAACACTTGTACCCAATGTATTATTACTGTTTGCTAGACTCAAGTTACTTGGTGTATTAGTCTGTGGTAAGTTCCTAGCCACATCTCTCAGTGGTTCCCCATTAGGACCCAAGCCCAGACCAATGCCTTTCAGCCCCTCTGGTAATCTAAACTCTGTCTTATCAGATACTCCCCGATCCATTCTAACAGTCATTCTTCGGTCATACAACATTTGTTTGTCAAACATTGATATAGCCTGTAAATAAAACCAAAATAGAAAGATGGATAAATATATATGTAAAAAATTATAAAAACAAGCCATCAATATAACTAGAATATATAAGAGCGGATAAAGAGTAGTCTTGCTTCTTTGGATATATCTCTTGAAAATCAAATTGTTTAATTTTGTAAATAACGAACCCTAATTGAGTAAAATATACAAAGACGATCTCAATGATATTACAAATCTGGAAATTTATAAATATATTTGCAAATTTATTTATCGGTGCTTCCACTATACGACCGAATCCCCAATAATGGTAGAATCGACCCGCTCTCACTCCACTCTCAATTTAAGATCCATCGGAACAGAACTAAACTGTAGTTTGAATATGCAAATTGTTTCTTATGTAACAATATTATACAAGACGCAGATCAGACCGAGATCGGACCGAGAGTGAACGAAGACCGGCATTATAGTGGGATTTCAGCCTAATGGAGTATCTATCCAGACCTATAATCAAGAGAAAGAACAATAAAGAGCTTGTATGGACCTCGATGCCTGACATTCTTGTTAGAATTCTCTAACCAATTCATTCGAGAATTGTGAATATTCATAGTTTTAATCAAAGTTGTGAGCAATTCTCATTGTGTAATCAGTAGTCTGAGACAAGAGACACTCATGTGATAGACAAATCATATATTATTAATGTATTCATAATAAAACACATTTAAAATCATTATTTAGAATAATATACCTGTACAGCTTCAACTGGATGATCATACTCGATAACAGCAAATCCCCTACTATTACCGTCTTTGTCTACAGCCAAGTCAATGTTGCGCACTTTACCGGCCATTTTAAAAACCTCCTTTATTTTAGGCCGATCCGCTTTATAATCCAGCTGAAATTAAAAATAGTTGCACTTATATTATTAGAGATGTTTCAAATGAAATTAATCAGGAGTTTTCCATCTGTACCCAATTTAAAGCAATAACTGCTTACAGTATTTACTGAGGCTTTAATTTCAATAGATCGGATTGTGGTCCAAAGCAAGTATTTATAAGTCAAGCAAAAATGTAACCAATCACTATAATCACATTAATCTAACACAATACTTATACAATTTTGCAACTAATTTACATTCTTTGTTAGTTTCTATTTCATTATGTTACGCTATACTTCATCAATTACGAATGTATTTCATGGCATCTATTCCGCGAGTTTCTAGTTTATTTATTTTTCTCTTAGATTATTAAAATTATAGATTGGCAAAGTAAATGATAGAAAAAATAAGAATCTATATGTTAAAGCAAGACAGACAATAGGACAATAATTTTCACAATATATGCTCAAACCTGATTTGACAGGAGTATGAAGAATTGCTAATTATTTTTACATTATGAAGTGGAGTTAGTTTTAGGTGAATGTAATTTGTTAGAATTAAGTGTATGTAGAATTAAGTATCTAAACATAAATAAATCAGGAAAATTAACCACAAAATTGCACATTTTTCATGTACATACGCTGTAAATATTTATATCTATAAAGACAATATTCTAGAACAATCAGAAATATACAAGAATCAATAGAAAAAAATATCTATATTAAACCAAGTAAAGTTTCGAATGTCCCACATTGAATTAATAAAATTAAAATTATAACAAATATATGCATTTTTGCTATTTTTCAATTCCATACAAATTCAGATCTATCACCAATCATGTACAAGTTTACAAAACACACACTAGTGTAATCACTTTCTAGTCTCGTTTTTGTGACTGCCTTGCCAGTTTGTCAGTATGTAGTATGTTATACTATGTCTATGATTTTTGTAAACTGGTTTTATTTTTAACTAGCTTATACCTGCAACTTCGTCTGCCAAACTTGGAAACTTTCATTAACCAAGTTAAAAAGTAGCCTCCGTTATTCTCCATTCCATATAGTATATATATACCAAATTACACAGTGATTAAGTTGGTAAAGTGCTATGTGGTAACAAACTCACTTTCACGTTTATAACATTAATAAAGATTTTACAGTATTTATTTAAATATCTATGACAGGGATTCCTAAACTTTTAAGATAACAGAACACCCATCATTTATTTTATGGAACCCCATATAAAATAATTGCAAATTAAAAACACATTCTGCACTCTGCATTTCAAAATATTTGTACTCAAATGCGATATTATTTAATAATAATAGAAATAAAATTTCACAGATCCCTGCTGACTTTTATATGGAACCCCTAGAGTCAACTGAACCTTCTTTAGGAATTGTTGATAGAATTACTATATACTCTAAACTAATTCCCCAAAGATAGTTGTTTTGTTAATATTGTGTTCCTTTTTCGAACTTTAAGGTTCATATTAATTTATATGTCCCACATATAATAACATGTATTATGTTATAATAAGAAGATACATAAAGTGCTTTACTTATTGTTTATACTACTGGCAATAGGAAAATAGCAAACTATTAATCATGAATGAAAGTAATAAATGTCACCATAAACATTTTATAAAGATAACAAATAAAGATTTTACAATACAATATTGTTTTGTATTGTAAAATCTTTATTGTACATAATAAATTTTGTAAATGAATTGTGCTTATGTCATCCCTTGTGTAACTTCTGATGTTTATGTGAATTTTTTTTAATGGATGAGAATGGAGTGGTTACCCCACACGCGCTAATGGTATACGCTGGCAGGGCACCAGTGAATGATGATAGGTGGAATGAAAAGATAGGTTACTTAGCCCGTTGTGATGAATACTCCTAGAACTCAGCACAATGGCTTCCAGGGGGGATCAAGTGGAGGTGAACCTGATAGTATATTGTTACAAATGTGCCTGGTAGTCTGCATTACTAACAAACCCTTCCCCCTCCTCCCTGATGATGATGTGTAATACCAAGGCGCAAAAATTAAAATCTAAGTGTATTAAAATCTACCTATTCCCTCTTGTATACAATAAAAATATATGTTTTCATGATTTAATAAATTAAGTACAACTTACTACTTACATTTGCAACAAAAACTTTTTTTACAAGTGGTGGTTGCACATTAATGGAATCAAGAAATTGTAAACTTAGACCATATGTATTGAAATTTTCTGGTTCTCTAGGTTTGTTGATACCCCATCTAGAAGAAATAATAAATTGAAAAGTAATGATAACAATAAATAATAATAGTTATATTTTGATTCAGATATTACATACACAGAAAACAATCTTACCCATCTTTATCATCCCTAGGATTCCTGCTGCCCCCACCAACACTGCCACTGCCACCTGCACCCCCAGATCGTGTAGAATTTAATCTGTTTCTTTCATTGCCTAGAACAAGTTAAAGTATTATACTAGGATTTTAAATTCAAATGTGCAAATTGTGGCTAAATGAATTTTGTCAACCACACCTACAGTAATTTGCATTTTTTAAATTTTAAACCATAAACTTTACTGCTGAAAAAATGTTATTTATTATGACATAAATATAAAAATGAAAAAGTATTTATAAATAAAAATATAATATGAACTTATATATATTTCACGACACTTATAACACACTTGTGTAAAACACACAATATTCATACATAAATATTCTTGTTGAGTCCTAAAGCACAAAGTCAACCTCAAAACCAAGCTGTTACTACCACTGCTAGTCTTAACTGTAATATTTTACTGTATTTACCTGTCTCCTCTTTTAATACCAGTTTCCTGCCATTTAATTCATATCTATGCATAACAAAGAGTGCTTTTTTCATTGCTTCAGAATTTGTAAATTCAACAACCCCACACCCTCTTGGTTTTCCATTTTCATCATTGAATAACTCAACATAGGCAACATCACCAACCTGAAGAACATAAATATGAATTCGGTAGCTGCTAAAGAATCTCTTGATGCTTTTATTAACTATTTAGTCTCATTATAATTATAACAACTAATTATAATAAATTAAGAAAATTGTGTAAGTTTTATTAATTGTACAATAAGTCAATTAAAACATATAAATTAATTGTTACATAATATTAACATTCATTATTCACTTATATATATATATATATATATATATATATATATATATATATATATATATATATAATTATTTATTTATTTATAATTATTTATTTATTTATTTATTTATTACTTCAGTTACAAGATATGGTGTATCATAATATCTGTGCTAGGGAATCCTTGTGTTACAGATGTTATGCCTTTCTAAACTATAATGCCCTTAAACAATAAAATATAATAAATGTTTTTCTATTAGCCTCATAAACACACACAAAATACTTTGATCTCGAGTATGTGAAATTAACAGTATAAATAGATTAAAACAAACCTTTTCCTTAAACAAATCTTTCAACTCAGTCCAACGAAATTCGTAAGGAATATTAGAAACGAACAATCGTTTCCCTTCTGGACGATCCCGGTCGTTTGAGCGGTCTCGGGTCACATCTGAAAACCTAGAAGGCCTATCCCCTCGTCTAGATCTATCCCGCTCTTTTTCTCTTTGGTTTTCCATTACAAGACAATCCTAAAAATACAACTTAAGTTCTTATTCAATATTTACCATAAAATTAAAAATAAAAGTATTATTACTTCGTAGAATAAAGATTTTTTAACAGTAATCAAACGTTATTCTTAACCGGCTTCGACTAATCGGCATATGGACAAATATAAAAATAGTACATGTAGGGGATTTTTTAACACACGATATAGGAATTAAATAAATTACCTTTTGTTAAATAGTACAAACAGGATACCTATAAATATTGAAAATAAATTTAATAAAGGAACGCGGTAAAGTTTGGAAACGCTGATAATAAAGGAAACAAAATGGCCGTTTGTGACGTACGGCATGTTTTTTTTCTTTTATGTATTATTCTTTATCTATGTCGATGACCAACCTGGGAACGTAAAAAAAGAAATTTAATATATATCTGTGGTCATACTTAAAGATATTCGTACTTTGAACCTTGTTCCTTGAACAGTAAGGGAACTCTTCAAAGATTGGTAGTAAGAATTAGCAGAATTGTCGGTAGATTTCACTTATACAGTTACTTACTTATATTAACACAGGACTTATATTTATTATTATTGACATATATTCATTTGGTTGTACCAGTCACCAGTATCAAAGAAGACCAGGATCAGGATTTTGGTTATTTAGACTAGTTAATATCAGTCAGTTATCGTGTTCAGTCAATGTTCATACTATCTAAGATAAAAAGTAATCAGTCATTTTTGTGTTCTTGTAATATTTTTTACTTAAATTTGTTGGAAAGACGTCATACACGGTCATAGACTAAATGTTGAATAAATTAGAAAGAGAAATTTCATTTAACTTCACTTAACGTCACGATATACTTTTTCTGTAACATCGTACATATGTAAATATTTAAACATAAAATAATATTTAATAATTATCTCCCTTCTACTAAACTACTAAATATTTAGTAATTAATTAGGAGAGGATCAAGCTTAGAATTTCTTTGCATGATAGAATCCGAAACGAGGACATCCGCGAAAAAACTAGAGCAACGCTATAGCCCAAAGGATAAGCAAACTAAAGTGGCAATGGGTTGGTCACATAGATCGAAGAACCGACAACCAATAAAGAAAAAAGGTTTTTAAGTGGCGACTACTAGATGGAGCGACGTCCTAAAATGCGTTGCCGGGAGTCAGTGTATGCAGTTAGGTAGGTAACTCAAGACCATACCTTATAATAGTGTATATGGGAGGGTTATGTACATCAGAGAACGGATAATTACTGATATGATGATGATAATGATAACGATGATGAATTAGTCTCTCGCAAAACTTCAATTATTATGGTTACAGGTTATGGGCTCAGTGTAGAAAAGAGGTCGTATTGAAGTCGTCGTGTACTAAACACAATCATAAACCTACTGATCAACAAATTGGAAAAAGAAAATACGTTTAACTTATCACGGAATATATTCTCTATAATAAAATATTTAAACATAAAATAATAATGAATATATAGTCACTCGCAAGACTATATCCATCAACATTTACAGGCGTGTTTAGGATGCTTATCACCTGCCATTGAACCAAGGAGGTTCTTAACAGTCCTTTCTGTTAGGGGGGAAAGGAATTGTTAGTAATGGTGACTAAGAGCTCTATTTCTAGCAATATAGCCAACCAGATTGACCTCCCCGTGGTCCCTCCTGGAAACCATCGTGCTGAATTTCAAGTGTATTCATCACAATGGGCTAGCTGACGTGCCTTTTTATTATCCTCATCAGTTATCTATCACTGATGCCCCGCCAGCGTATACCGTTAGCGCAGGCGGGGTTACCATTCCATTATCATCCATTAAAAAAAGTCTTTGGTGTTTCTAATTTGACATTCAATTATTTACAACACAAATTATTATATACAAATATACTATATGCACGTAGTCGATAGTCGCATGATATTTACAAAGTAATTGTTTGTCAGTGGCGGTCTTACTCATTACGAGGCTCCGGGTGGTAGGTCTTTGCGCGGCTCTTATCCTTCGTAAAAAATATGTAATGCGAAACTAGATCTGGTTGTTTTATTTAGGTATTTGTCATGTTTAACGAGAAATGTTACAAGTTATACAAAAAAATTAAATTTGAGTTTTAAATTATTAATAAATTTCCGCTGACTCAAAAAAACTGTCTTATTTTATATTTTTTTTCACATTTTTTTTTATTTGTTTATTTTAGTGTTGGTTGATCATTCGCGATTATAATGCCTAAATTGGGAAGTTTTAGCAACTTGCCACTAGACAAAATGTAACTAGTTTAAAATATGCTTGTGTTTTGACTTGAGGCCCCTACAAGTGCGAGGTCCCGGGAGATTGCACTGTTCACCACCCCCTGATGCCGCCGCTGTTGCTTGTATAAACGTGAACTAATATTAACTCAAACAGTATTCATGTTTTGTGTTTATTATAAAACAGGTAATATATATTTATTATATGAATATTATTTAAGTACTTTTTCAACACAATTAAATATACTCGTTAGTCGTATGAAATTAATTTGTGTCAAAATTTTCATGAAATGGAACGTTCTATGGTTCACACGGTTTACGTCAAGCGCTATCTATCGGGAAGTCTTAACTTTTTGTTTGTTCCACGGTGACACACGCACACATTCATGTTTTTGATTGTATTGCTTCATAAATATTTTTCGCCTACGATAGCCATGCAGGAGGCAACCTGCGTTAGAATTTTAATAAATTAAGTAGTTTTATTATATTACAAATTATGGAGCAGAGCAAATCTAATTCACCCAAACTATTTGTGTGCACCGCCATAGAAAATAAGGACGATATAGAGGAGGTACCGTGTACAATTTCGCAGTTTCCCAACAAAGAATCGTTTAGTCAGCCATGTACAACTACTTTCTGATATTGACGACAGTGGCGCTGATGTATACTTGGCGCGAAATTTAATTTATATATTATTTGTTAAACTTTTCCCGTTATCTTTACGTTTTACTTTTACATTTACAGAGATACGAAAGAGCTTACAACTACTTTCAATCGTTGGTCGCTGATTGTAGTGAGAAAGAAGCTCATGATGCATTGAATAATGCTGTGTGCAAAAATCATGAAGAGGTTTCACTGGGAATGCTTATGTCTATTCTCACAGAGCCGCACAACGCTACCAAATGCTACAGAGACCTTACTCTTATCACTAGAGATGGATTAACCTGCATACTCAACAATCTATCCACTTTGATACTAGACAGATATTTAAAATTTCAAGACACTACTCGCAATCAACTTCTGTGGCTGATAAAGGAGATGATAAGAAATGCTGTTACTGGAGTAGACAGTGTTTGTTGGAATCTAATGCGGTATGCTTCAGGAGGTGACAATACACCTAAAAATATAATCTTAGTAGAATCTCTATTGGATATTTATATTGAAAATCGGGTATGGTTAGATAAATTTCCAGTACTTATCTGCATGGTGGTGTATACATACTTGAGATTAATTGAAGATCATAACATACCACAACTTATGAACTTGAGACAAAAAGAAGTTAATTTTGTGATTGCTTTAATAAGAGAACGCTTTGCTGATGTATTGAACCTCGGTAGAGATTTGGTGCGTTTACTCCAGAATGTTGCTCGCATACCAGAGTTTAGCCAACTCTGGCAAGATATTTTGATGAACCCTAAATCATTATGTCCGAGTTTTACAAATGTTCTGCAGCTGCTGCAGTCAAGAACATCTCGAAGATATTTACAGTCAAGACTTACGCCTGATATGGAAAGAAAATTAGTCTTTCTAACATCCCAAGTAAGATTTGGCCATCATAAAAAGTATCAGGAGTGGTTTCAGCGGCAATATCTTGCTACTCCAGAATCACAGTCTCTCAGAAGTGACATGATTCGATTCATTGTTGGTGTTATACATCCTACAAATGAACTCCTGTGTTCTGATATCATTCCGAGGTGGGCTGTCATAGGATGGCTCCTCACAACATGTACATCAAATGTAGCCGCATCAAATGCAAAACTTGCTCTATTTTATGACTGGTTATTTTATGATCCTGAAAAAGATAATATAATGAACATTGAACCTGCTATTCTTGTCATGCATCATTCTATGAGATCACATCCAGCTGTAACAGCAACTTTATTGGATTTTTTATGTCGAATAATTCCAAATTTTTATCCTCCATATGCTGATAAAGTAAGGCAAGGCATATTTAATTCACTACAACAAATTATAGAAAAAAGAGTATTACCTAATTTACAACCACTGTTTGATTCGCCTAAATTAGATAGGGAATTACGTACAACTGTCAGAGAAACTTTCAAGGAATTTTGCAGCAATGGAAATGGTGAAGGTGTATCAGGGATCCGTGAAGAAGGCAATGAAGAAGGAGGTCCCATACTTAGAGGAGGTCCAGATGAACCCGCATTCTCAGATGATGAAGATGATACTCCTGCAAATATAGCAGAAGATACTGATGATGATGACTTACCATTATCTGAGGTCCGTGCACGTGAACGACCAGAATTGGCTGCTGCTTTGCCTTTAGTTTTAAGACCATTGGCAGAGACACTATTAGATGAAAGGTCGTCTACAGCCGCTACCACTCTACTTAACGCTTGTGGCTCGCCAATGCCAACACCGGCTGCTCTCGCTGACCTATTCACTGCAGCAGTCCAAGATGCGCCTCCTTTGCGCGTCAGTCGTAATCCTACCCCTACAGAACTTGATTCCGCATTGAATTCACCAATATTCTCTATGTTCCCATATCTTTCCGTGACTGGAGACTGGACTGAAGCCAAACGAAAGCTCATATTGGAAACTTTCAAAGAAATCCATAGTCAGAATTCATTTCTTTCTGTAGGACTATATTTATTGTTTTATTTAAAAGTATGCTATGAACGTGAGTGTCGCGCCGAACGTGATTTGGGACGAAGACGAGAGGTGAAATTCAAAGCGGAAATGTATAGCGAATATTGTAATTTCTTAGAATTAAAATTAGGTGACAGTTTAGCAGATGATTTTGAAAAATGCCAGGAGTGTGACGCGAACGTTCTAGTTTGGTTGATACCAGATGTTTACCGAGAATTTAAAGAACAATCACAAAATCATATAAGATTGCTGCATGCTATAGTTTCGACATTAGATGCTGGCCAGTTACAACGCTTAGTGTGTCTTACATTACAAGGGAATTTAATGATGTTTAAATCTGACGACATTACCACAATGCTGTCTACTAGTCTGGGCTGGGAGACATTTGAGCAATATTGCCTTTGGCAACTTTTGACTGCACATGATATTTCAGTTGAAGATGTTTTACCGATAATTCCTAAGCTGTCCTATAAAGACCATGCTGAGGCTCTCACATCTGTTTTGCTTATGTTGAAACAAGAAAAACCTAATACCGATGTCTTGCGGCAATTGTTCTGCAGATCCATAGACGAAGAAGACACTTTTGTTGTATCCACAGTAATGTATTGGTGTCAAGACTATGAGGACAAAGTAGGTGATTTGGTATCAGTTTTGTTGAGTACAAGATATCCAGGCACTAGCCCCAACAAAAGAAAACGGCCAAGCAAACACAGCATACCGCCGAATGCTCCTCCGTCTGCTGAACTGGTAAATACTTTACTTACCTTATAATTTGTTTAGAACCATACACACATTTCGAAAAACAACCACCATCGGCCGATGGGAAAGAAAGGTCCTTAAGTGACGACTCCGTACGCGGACAAATGCGGTGTAGGACGATCCTCCACTAAATAGAGTGACAACTTCAAATATATAATAAGAAGTCTGTGGACGTAAGGATCACAGGACCTTTCCATATGAGAGACTATAGGGGAGGCATATGTTCAACAGTGGACTGATAATGCCTGATATGATGATGATGATGATACACATTGAAAAAAAACTATATTTTCGATAAGATAGTAGTCTTCTTTAAGATTTAAGAATCAAAATCCGAATAAGTATCTAATATTATACTTACCTATAATTCTAGCCTGATCTAGCCAGTAAAATTATCTACTTATAATAATTAAACAATATGCTCAAGATAAAGATATTTTTTCAGTATCATAAATCTTCACATTCTCGACTAGAGAATAGCTAATCTTTATTGCTTACAATATATCCTGTCAAGTTTAGGTCAACGCAGTCATCCTGAAAACAGTCGTGATTCTTCATCTTTATTATCACTTATCCCCCAATGTATACCAAAGGCGCAGGCGAGATTACTATTCTATTTACACCCCACTAAAAATATTCGTGACTTACCTACATTTCATCTAGAATCCATTGTAGCCGAATATAAGAAAGAGATTAAATTTGTTAAGAGTATAATAACTACAGAAAAGTTTTATAATTGTAAAATACAAATTATCTCTTCGCGTCAATGCTAAATGTTTTCTTGTTCCATTCTTCCTTGTTAGACATTATTTCTGGGGTCAATTTCAAATTGTACTTAATATTAAATATTAATTTAAAATAATTATTAATTTTCTAGGTACTAGGCCACTTGGAGCAACTGCGGGTATGTTGTGTAGAACAAGACGACATGTCAATTTTCAATATGCAGTGTATGCAAAAAGCTCTGCAGCAAGCACAATCGAATAGTAGCGATAGTATAAGGGTAAGATGTTGATATTAAAATTCATATAAACATACTGTATAAATGCCGAATTGTATGCCTATTCTATTTCAATCGATCTTAATGAAAATTGAAACAAAATAATAATTTAACGGACCATAAGTCGAATCTGCTGATGTCCAGTTGTAGTACAAATTGAAAATAGGTAAATTGACCGTTTCGATTTGTTACTAATTTCATTTAGAGTTTCTGTAATAACTGCAACAAAACTTTGTAATCTTTTCATTACGTTCTATTGAAAAAAAGTATAGGTACTTCCTACAAAGTGACGCAATTTCAGTTTATCGTAACAAATTACAAAACGCACATATAATAATGAACAAAAAAAAAAATTCGTGTGTATTAATTAGTAAGTCTACAAGTTAAGCGCCCCAAAGTATGTCAACACAATTTTAAATAGAGGTCATTCAAACACTCGTTTCGTATGTCGAATGGCCGTCTATACGAAACTAGTATATTTAGTACTGAGTTTAAAGTACCTTCCATTTTCATAAGCTAAAAGCTCTTTTTAGTGATCACATTTTATACTTAAGAAAACTGCAAAATTTCAAGTTTCTAGATCGAGCAATTTCTGTTGTTCGTTAATCCATCTAATAGTTAATACTGGAGGAAAAGGGGGTGTTAGTAAAAGCAGCCCCATCGCTAGCAAAAACCCAATTAGGTGAACCTTCACGCGGCAAACCCATCGTAGTTTTGTTGAGTTCTTCACGTGAACTAACTGACTTGCTTTCATCCTCAAATATCATCTCGCTGGTGGTTCGTCAGCATATATCGATAGCGCAGGGGAGGTTACAATTCCATTTTAATCCTTAAAAAAGAAATTTAATACTTATCATTAGATTATCAATTAGATCTTACACCACGATATCTTCGCCAAATCCTCATAAATTTTTGTGATTTCTTTTGCTAATAAATAATATTGAATATATATATATATATATATATATATATATATATATATATATATATATATATATATATATATATATACGTTTTACTTGCATTTTTTACTTAAATATTAATTTTAATTTTCAGAGACAATATAGTGATTTATTCTGTCTAGCTTTGGAAGACGAATTACCAATATCAAGGCGAGCTCGAAAGTTAATTTCAAATTCGCTGCCTATCAATCAAAACTTGCATTCATCTAATGAAGACAGTGAGGTACGTAACCTTTTATAATTTCAAAAACAATTGAACAATTTTCAATAATTCCAATTGATTTAAATAATTGTGTGATTAGAAATTAAAACTTTAATCATAGAATAAATGGCACAAAGATCTACCACTAAACATTTTGCCCTTACTTCATAGATAAATAGATACTCTTTATTGTTTCCTCCAAAAGATTACATTAGTAAACTTATTATAAATACAATTACAAAAAAATACACTGAGAAAACAATGAACGGCCTTATCGCTAAGAGCGACCTCTTCCAGGCAATCTTTAGATGACAAAGAGTAATTATAAATAGATCAATAATATTCATTGCTATGCGGATGACAGTACAGGGGATGCATTATATACCGGTCATGCAAACATCTCGCGAGTACATATTGATGAGTGCCAGAATAGACTTGTGTTCTTTACTCGGAAGTTTCGATCTGGGGCGAACACAATCTTGTTCAATTCAACACTAAGAAGCGCGTTCTTCGCAAAAAAGACGCCGTTTGTCATATCTCCTCACTTTCAAAGCACTTCTGTAGATAATAAGTCAACGGATCCTTAGCGTTGATATATCCAGCGACATCCCGTTTTGCGGTTATCTTAGAAAAAGTCTAAGATTTCCTTTTCCTAAGAAACTGCGTAAAGACGTTGCTACTTATACTTGCTTTGTATGTTTTACCGAATTTATCATGGTGAATGTTCTGAGGAATCGTTCGGATTGATTCCTGCTTCTGGTTTTCACAATCGTACAACCTAAAATAAACTTAAATTTCATCCCAACCATCTGGATGAGTGGCGGTCTTACACTGTGCATTTTTCAAGGGACTTTCTTCCACGCACAATCATTCTTTGGAATCAACTTTCAGCAGCAGTATTTCCGAGTCAATACGACATCATAACCTTCAAGAGAAATATTTTTTAAATTTTATCTGAATTTTCTAAACCAATTTTAATGGATTTAATGGACAGTAAAAAATAGACTAACTCGCCAACAACCTACAAAAATAAGCTTTTTTATTTTGAAAAAATAAGAAAAAGGTTGAGTTCTTGTAATTACCATTTTCCGGAGATAGCGATCAATATTGTCTAAAATTTGTTATCCATATGATTTCCCATTCTGTTTTTTATAGTCATTATTATATTGAATGAGACAAAGGCAATATCGATGTCGAGTATTCAATATTACGTTTACAATAATTTATAATCACAACTAATAATTTTATTTACCTATGTGAGTATTCCGAATAATATATAAATAAAATAAAATAAAATTAGATAACGATGGAAGCAGGCGAAGAAAAACAATAGCGTATATATATTGTCATTGACAAAAAATAATAATAAAAAATACAAAGAGGTTTCACAACATACACCCCACCTTGTGCATACGCATTACTACAGCGCAATAACAAAATACAAAATTATATGTCAAGTCGATGAGGAAGTTTCACAGGACGACCAGAACGTGTAATCTTGGCTGGACAATTTTCAACCTCAACTTTAGAATCAATAACTTTATCATTTGATCCCGATGGCCGTGGAAACTGAATATCCTCTAATTGTGACACCTCTAGAGGGTATAAACGTTGCAAAGGTCGAAGACGTTCGCCTTTAGCCGTTTTAATACGAGCTACCCTACCAATGTTATCAACACCAGGACATATCTGTAAAATGAGACCCAAGGGCCAATTTACGCGTTTTAAATCATCTGAACCAATAAGTACAATATCTCCAGGTTTCAGATTGTTCTTATTTTTGCCATACTTTTGCGTTAATAACGATAAATATTCTGATCTAAATCTTTGTTTTAAATCCCTATTGATTTTTTCAATATAACGATAACGAGTAGCAAGATTAGATGAATAAGCTTGGTCTAAATCACTTGTATAAGTACTGCCTACCTTAAGAAACATTGCAGGAGTAAGAGCTGTAAAATTTTCAGTGCTGTCTGCTATGTAAGTTAAAGGACGTGAATTAATAAGTGCTTCTGTTTCGCACAGTACAGTCATCAATTCTTTTTCTAATAGAGCAGCTTTACCTAAAACTCTTCTCAGAATTTCTTTAATAGTACGAATCATTCGCTCCCACCATCCACCCCACCATGGCGCTTGTGGTGGAATAAAGTGCCATGATATCTTTTGAACTTAGGTTTTGAAAGAAACGTCGTCCCAATTAATTGAATTTAAGACATTATTCGCTCCTCGAAAATTAGTAGCGTTATCGCTGTATATAATCCTAGGCCTACCTCTTCGTGCAATAAAATCTTTATAACTTCTATACTGTCGATAGAACTTGGAAAATCTCAAGCACCATGCAACGGTTCTAACAATTTTTGAATACTTCCCAAAATGAAGAAGTCTGTCAGAAAATTTGGTACCTTCTTGCACAGTTAAACAGCTTTTCTTTACTTCCTTGTTGACTTCATTTTCATCTGGAGCAACATCAGAATTGGGCCACGCTGATTGTGAATTATGAAGCCAAGCTGGACCCTCCCACCATCGACTTTTCAATAAATTTTGAGCATTGCATCCTCTTGATGGAAGATCAGCTGGGTTAAGTTCACCAGGTACATGACGCCAAGCATCTCTGTTACTTCTTTCTGTAATCTCTTTCACTCTATTGTGAACAAAAACATTTAGACCTGATTGCCGTCTTATCCATGCTAACACAATGCTAGAATCAGTCCAGTAGTATTCTTTGCAATTCAGCTGCAATGAAAATTTGGCTTCTGTAGCCAATCGTGTGGCTAACAAAGCTGCAATTAATTCAAGTCTCGGCATTGTAACTGGTTTCAATGGAGTAACTCTACTTTTAGCAAGAACAAGTTGTACTGTTACCATATTATCATGTTCCGATCGCAGAAAGACGCATCCAGAATAAGCGTATTGGCTTGCATCACTAAAAACATGAATGGTGTTATTGCTACCAGATAAATTTGATACACTCAATCTTCTTGGAATACGACATTTTTCGATAGCATTTACATGATGAAGCCATTCTCTTGCTGATTTTCCCAATTCTAAGGTAAGTTCTTTGTCCCAGTCCATAGACATTTCCCAGCACTTTTGTATTAATAGTTTCGGTATCAGTGTGGTAGGACAGAGAAACCCGATTGGATCGAAAATACTTTGCGCCATTGATAACAATGTCCTTTTTGTAAGCTTATCTGTAACTTGTTTGAAAAAAGGAACTTTACAATAGAGTTCATCATTTTGAGCATCCCAAGTAACTCCTAATACAGAGGTATCTGCTTGATTTTTATCTAAAGTAGGGCCAGTCACCCAACATCTTAATTCAAACTTACCTTCGTTCATTATGTGCAAAGCTTCATTCATGAATTTTTTCATTTCAGTTTCATTGTTAACACTGACTATACAATTATCAACATAAAAGCTCTTTCTCAATTGACTGGCAGTATCGCCTACATATTTCTCGAGGTGGTATAGAATAGTAGCTGATAGAAGGTATGGACTCGTTTTAACACCAAACACTACACGACGGTGTCTAAAAACTTTTAATTTTCTATCTGAGCTGCTAGGGTTGTCCCACCATAAAAATTTGAGAAACTTGCGATCATTTGGATGGATAGATATTTGTAAAAAGGCCTTTTTTATATCGGCGATAATACCTATCTTGCCTTTTCTAAATTGAATAAGTAATTTTGGTATTAATTCTATAAGATTGCTTCCTTTTTCTAGACAAGAATTAAGACTGACACCTTCTTTAGTCGTAGCAGATGCATCAAACACAGGGCGAATTTTAGTCGTAAGGCTAGATTCTTTAACAACAGCGTGATGAGGCAAATAATGTCCGGTTTGAATATTATCACCCATAACCTCCTCAATTACGTTACTATTTAACCATTCGTTGAACACCTCATCATAAGCGTTCAATAAGCCTAATTTTGTAAGCTTATTAGTAGTTGAGTGAAGACGTTTTATTGCTAAATTAAAGTTAGAAGATAAAATGTCTGCTGTATCCTTCCATGGTAAACTAATTTCATACCTATTCTCACCATTTATGTTTACAGTTTCTCTAAAAAAATTCTCAACTTCTTCCTCACGCTTCCGAGAACTTTTAACCTGCGCCTCATCTTTTATACCTATTGATTCAAGTTTCCACAGGTCATCAATATCAAATGAACAAGCGTGTATTGAAGTAAAATTACAATACGTACCAGAAGTAGGTCCCTGAATTACCCAACCAAATTTTGTCTCGATCGCCACCAAATTGTCACTTACATGTTCTGATCGCCCAGTGTACAACGAACCTAAAACATCAGAACCAATTAGTAAAGAAATCTCTGTCACTTCATTAATACAATCAGTGATGTCAATACCTTTATCCTGTAGTTGTGACAAAAGTGAGCCTGACTTTATCTTTGGCAAATTATCGCATATTTTCCTCTGCTCAAGTGCCTCTATTTGAATTTCATACTTACTATTGAGGCTTTTGCAATTTAATATAAATAATCTATGATTTTTTAATTTAGTCACTACTCCGCCGAACAAATTGTGCCTTAAGTGTTCATTACCTGTAGGTTTAATATTCAATTTCTCGATTGCATCTGACCTTATAAAAGAGCGTTGAGCACCTGAATCCAAAAGGGCTCTCACTGTAATGGTTTTCTCTTTGTATACTAAATTTAGTTTGACAGTTTGCAATAAAACTGTACTCGGTTTTATAGACTGTTTAAGTACTTGATCTTCTGCCTTCTTTGAAATCTTAGGTAATTCGGCACACATAATGGGATAATGTCTTTTTTCACAAACAATGCATTTGGGATATTTTCTACATTTTTTTGCATGATGTCCAATTTTTAGACATATCAAACATGTATTCTTCTTTTTCAGAAAATCTTTCTTTTCTTCTAAATCCCATTTAATAGGCCTTTTACATTCAGAACTATTATGCGTGGGTTTATCGCACCATACACATTCTCTTATTTCATTTTTAGTATGCACGACATTTTTCTCTTTGTTTCTGACAGCTGTACTTAAAAAACTTGCTGACGGAATTACAGGATTTGGATCCACGCTAGAAAAACCTCCTCGTGATAAATTAATTTTTTCTTCAGATTCAACTTCCTTACGAACAAAATGTAACAATTGTGTCAGCTGACTCTTTTCTTTATCGTTAGTCGCGACGTTCGCCTGACATCTGTTCCATGCGCGTAATATGTCTTCCGGCAGTGCAGATTCCACCATTGGAAATAAAAAGGCGGCATACTTATCTTGCGTCACGCCGAGAGATTCTAAAGCAAGAATCTGAGTCATTAGTTTATCATATAGGATACGAGTGGCCATCTTAGAATTATCGTTCCTTTGGACGATTGTTAACTTTAAGAGTTCTCTAACGTAATATTCTATTATAAGTTCATCTTTTCCATACCTTTGTTTGAGCTGTTGCATTACCTTTGGGTAGTTTTCTGCTGAGGGTGGAAAACTTTCCACTAACTCCTGGCGTTACAACCTTTCTCAATACTTTGTAGGAGATATTGAAATTTATCTTCATCATCTATGTCGCTGTCGCAGTCAATCTTCTTGAACTGTGTCCAGAATGGAATCCAACTTTTTATCTCTTCGTTCAATAAAGTAAGCTGTAACTTCGGAAGACGAAAGTGGCGACGATGCCTTTGGGAAGTCTCTCCACTCTCTCTATCTGCTTTAATTACAGTATCAGAGGCCGAAGAGCGGGCTACCGCAGGACTGCAGTTCTCGCTGACTTTGTGTTTCAACAAATAGAATTTACTGGTGTAAGCCTCGGACAGTTCTAAATCATCATCGAAAAAATTTTCGTCCCGTTCCTCCATGTTCAACCACAAATCCATTAATTTGTTTTGGAGGAATGTTAATTCGTCGAAAATTTTGGTGATATTTAATATTTCCGCGCTCATACCTGTTTTATCATTCTTCTCTAGAAAATCTTCTATACGTTTAGCACACATAGTAAAACGACGACGTACTACTTTTCTTTGTAATAATGCCTGTTTCATTTTTACGCTGATCACGGTCGCCAAAATGTGAGTATTCCGAATAATATATAAATAAAATAAAATAAAATTAGATAACGATGGAAGCAGGCGAAGAAAAACAATAGCGTATATATATTGTCATTGACAAAAAATAATAATAAAAAATACAAAGAGGTTTCACAACAACCTAGTTATTTTTTTTTTCTTTTTAGGAGGATGAAATTGTCAAGCCTAAACAAGCAAAACGTCGAAAGAAGGCCATTTCGGATAGCGATTGACATATCTCATGTAAAAAGAATGGTAATTTTAGACACCAAAGTGCAACTCTACAATACAATAAATATTAGTATTGTAAAAAACAGTATAATTGTTACCCTATGTTATCATATTGATCAGGTGCAATTCCAAGAATGGTACCTTAATTCGTGGCTCATATGTTAGTCTTGTGTTGCAATCGCCCCATGATAGTACTGCTAAAATTTAATATTTTTATGCACTGCAAACTAATAAGTAGTAAATCTATGATTCGGCATGACGTGACATCTTAGCGTGCAAAACCAAACTTTTGTTGTAAAAGATACCTATTCTTGCAATACGCGTGTTTAATTTAATTAGTGTATAAATAACAGGAAATATTAATTTCCTTTGAAACACAGTGGTTTGGTTATGTACATATCTTTTGCCAATAACAGATAAAAAAGTAAGTCACTGGTCATGCACTGTAAATTTTAGCACCGTAAAATAATAATTATTATTATGTGTAAAGTTAGGTACCTTAATATTGTACAGTTTTTTTTTATCCTAATTACCGTGTCGACTTTTAAGCATAAGGTGACCAAGAATTTTATTCGAAGCATATTGCGATTTTGAAATACATTTTACACTAAGATCAATAAAGTATTTCCCCTTTGTTCGTAGTTTCACTTTTATATATATATATAAAAAAAAAAACAAATTTTAGATATTTTTTATTTAATTTTCTTTTAAATTATGTAAAAGTTATAAACACGTTTTTATAAATCTTTCATTAATCAACACTGCTTATATAATTATTTTGGCTTAAGTACAAAACCAGATATATAGAAACAAGTAAATAGGATGTATAAAAGATCCGATTTAATTACAAATTACATATTTTTGGAAAAATACATTCTAATATAAAAACTGACATTCATGGAGGAGAGCATTCTCCAAGAGAAAAGAATGAAATATTGAACGTAAAAAAAACTACATACAGGCAAGTGTAGTTTACGATCCTTATGGAAGTTTGCGACATTCCACGACATCGACCATATATCAAGACATAAGGTGCTTTATACAAATTCATGGTCATGCCCGATTACATAACATCTCGAATAATAAAAGGCTAAATGCAATTGGGATCCACTATCAACCGAGTGCACATTACTACACGAAATTTTCACATATGAATTACCATACTAGGTCGAGCATTTTGGAATATCAAATTTTGCAAACAATTAAAATCAAAATTGTGTCGTGTCGTATAAAGAGGCAAACAGACTTATTGAAGTGGCAAGAATTTCTCCGACAAGACTGCAGGTCTTATATAAAATATAAATGCATATAAACAACATTATTACAATTGGTAATTACAGTGTTTCAAGAACACTCGCGTTGTTAAATTAGAATAATAAAAAGGAATAAATACGGCTCTAGAGTAAGTTTTCACTGCACAATTAGTGTCCACATTTATAATTAATACGTAACACCAAGCAATTAGTCCCGATATATGTACATTAGATCTCTAAAAAAAGGAAAACTTTAATGAATAGCTATACTATATTGAAAATTAATAGCACAGTAACATAAAAAGTATAGACCATACATATATATAACACAACCCTGGGGACATTACAAAGAGCGATGCTGTCTTTTTTAAAAGGGCTTTCCTTCCCTTTATAGTTCTTAACAAATTCCCAAAGAATAAAAATTATGAAATAGTACAAGTGTTTCTTACATTGACTATAAACAAAGTACCAACAATCAACAACATCAATACCAAATTCCCAAAGGTTTCAATCTATACATATATGTACCCTGTAAATGGTATTTTGCGAAAATTTTCAAGTTCCCAAGTAATTCTATTGTCTACTTACTAAGAATTAGCCAGTAAACAACGGTTTTGTTTTCATTATAATTAAATAGTTTTCAGGTATTACCTATTCAATTATATACCGACTCATAAGGGGTGCTATGAGTGGCACAGTATACTGTTTTGTTAAAACAGTTGCCACTTTTAGGTGTGGGCCATCAAATTCCTTACCATTCAATATAAACAATACTCAATACCTATCTAAATATTTAATTTTGCTATCCATAGCAAGATTAGTCATAATGATTCTCAATACCGAGTCGAAAACAGCACAACTTTCTATAAAAAGCATAATAGCAATTTCAAAATAATTTTCGAATTTTTCAAACATATTATATTATTGATTTGGTATGAAAAATTCAAAAATTATTACGAGATATCATCTAATGCTTCTTGAGCAAATTATTCTTTTTTAATGAATAGTATTACCGGATTCCAGACTGGTATATCAAGTATTATTATTCAATACAATTAGTCCTGTATATCTGTCGCCAATCTAAAACAATATCTAAAAAGAGATCAATAGCAGAAATGTAGAAATTGAAAACTGTTAGATATGTTATACAATCTACAAAAGTAGATAGGCAGTAAATAGAACAGAAATTGTCTTTTATACATACTTAGGTACGTGTATCTATCTTATCATCACATCCCTTACAGAGACCTGGTGAAAAGATAGATAAATAATTGTCTTTTATTTCTAAATAAAGTCTTAATTGTTTTCCCTCAAAACATGAACACATCACAGTAATAATTACTAAAATGTAACCACAGTTATATAAACCTGATTATACATCATGTAGGAATAATTTTAAATATAATACATTCTTATAACTAAAGTTTTCCTTGTTTATATCTCTGTCTTGCTTGTGCTTTGCTGTATTTATTCTTTTTTTCAGGAATAAACTCTCTTTCATCTGAAACCCCTTTTACACCTGAAATAATAATAAATTATTATGTTTACACATTTATTAGGTACAAGCATAATTTTTTTTTCTATTAAAATTGAACTTTGCCATGTATCAGTATATAATGGCTAATAGTGATAATATATTCTGAATTGAAAAGAATAAGCGAATTATATATAAAGGTTTATGCCTTATATTTTACATTTATTTAATGCATGATAGTTGAATGGTAACATAGTGAAGGCTCGCGTGAGAAGTTTAGTTTCACATTGGTACGGCATAACTTCAATGGTGCGTTGCAGTCTCAAGGGGAATAGTGTTATGAGTTGACATGATTATGCTAAATCTAAAGCAGAATTATCCTCACATAATTTGAAGATTGTTACAGGTGATGAACTTGTATCAATATGATTTAGAAAAGAAGCACTAGTTGCAGATTTTTTTAATGGATGAATACAGAATGTTAACTTACCCTATCACTCTCAACTAACAGGGTATCAGTAAGGTATGACAGGTGAAAATGAAATCAGGTCAGTTGGTCTATGACAATGATAAAATAGATGATATCATTTTTCGCTTAAAAAAGCTATCACTAGAGACTTGGTTAATCCAGTTAACTAATCTCGAATACGCCAAAATCCAATGGAGACACGTTAGTTCAATTAGATAAATCCACAATTAAAAACACAACAATTAAACAGTAACAGAATAATTTTTTTAACTAATAATTAAATACCAACAAAAAAAACTAACTTCAATTGTGATAAAACCTTTTTTTTAAACTAAACTTCTAAACCGATTAAAATTTCTATGCAACCAATATGTAAGTATTATCAGATAAAAAAAATAATTTTCCAAATTGGCTTAGAACTGACATAGTTATGAGATAACACACATAAAAAAATACAAAGGAATTGAAAACTTAAATTGTCAATCGATAAGTCACATCTGAGCTGCGTGCTTCTCTGAGAAGTGATGTGATGGGAAATGCTGTACTAACAGTGTAATAGCTGTCGCTAACGGCTATGAGTATTTGATTATATGTAGTCACTTGGCACCATGTGAATAGTCATCTAATTTTAACTTATTATTGCTTCATAATCTACCTAAATTTGGTTAAATCACAGTCTGATATACAGTGCTATTAGTCTCGGCCCTGTAGGCACACATATGTCTATTCAGTGGTTTGTTTTATATATATTTTAAATTTGTATAGGATTAAAAAATATGTATACCTAATTCCTCAGGAGGTTGTAAAGATTTGCCTGCACTCCATGTATTCATTAAAGTGACAGCTTTTCCTATCGCCCAACCTACAGCTGAGAGGGCGAACGCGAATGCTACCATGCTAAGGGGATGCTGTAAAAAGTTTGTATAATGATTATTAATAATAAATTTTATAAATTCATGAGTTTGACATGTGTTATTATACACTTTAACTCAAATTAGTTATAAATTAAATTAATTAAACATTCATCAATCATCATTTATGAATCAGCAGGCAGTCTGATCTTTGGATCAATATATTTTTTTTTACATTTTCATAAAGTTATATTGAAACATCTTGCCTATATTCTATTTATATCAAATTTATAAAGATTATGTAATATATATATATATATATATATATATATATATATATATATATATATATATATATATATATATATATATATATATATATATATATATAAGATACATACTAAATATGTAAATAGTGAAACAATAAACTTACAGTTAATGTAGGATTTGTAGTCAATGTGTAATCTAGGAGAACAACACCTATACCAGCAGCCAAACCCAGACATGTGCATATCCATATAATATTTTGATTGTCTATAAGAAAAAACAGTGCTGATTTATACACATATTGTTGAAGTATTTATAATACTCAAAACAATAAATATAATAAACATTCAAACAGTAAGTTTTAATTGTATTTTTAAATTAGGTATATACGTATTGTTGGGGATGATGGACATAAATACAGGTAAAGCAGACAAAATCACTGACATAGATACACTATCCTGCAGAACAAAAGGGAATACTTTTCTACTAAAGTGAAGTACAATATTGACTAAATAAAGATAGATATATAATTTATTTACATTACACCACACAAATAACAGAAAATAAAAGAAAATACTTAAAAGAGGTAACATTCTTTTTTGTTAATGTGCCACAGTTACACAAAATAGGCAAAACTCAGTTTGTTGCTTTGCTCTCAAAAGAGAAAAACATTGACATTCTGTAGTGGCCAAAAGCCGAGGAAGGGAGGGATTGTTAGTAATGCAGACTAACAGTCCTATTGCTAGTAATATATCCAATCAGATTGACCCACACATGATCCCTCTGGAAACCATCAAGCTGAATTTCAGGTGTATTCATCACAATAGGCTAACTGATCTAACTTTTTATTCTCACTTGTTATCTATCACTGGTGCTTGGTCAGCATATACCGTTAATGCAGGTGGGGTTACCATTCCATTATCATCCATCAAAAAAAAGCCAAAAGCCTGAAAGAGAACTATCCTACCTTTTTGTTTCTGTTTTTGCATGTCAGTAATGTTTTTTATTGAATCCATTAACTTAGGGTTGTGTGGTTCAAGCTGTAAAGCTCTAGTATATGATATAATAGCCTCATCATATAGACCACTTGCCGCTTCCACTTCAGCTCGCCGAAAATACCCCTATAAAACAGAAATTGTATTCATGGTCATTTTATGTCAATGGCAAATTATACTTTTAAACAATTATTTTAGGATTTCATTTAGGTTAACTCTTTAACTAAGAACTACATTTTTCCCTTAATGTAAAACATTGTAAATTCATATAAATAATTTTGTGAACAAGAAAATCTGTATTAACTTTTACTATGAAATTTATATATGAGTATTTTAAATAAGCATAAAAAATCAGGTGTGCATACATAAAGTATTAGTTAAATTTAATCAAAATTTAAAAATGCTAACTTTGTTATGTAAAAATTTCATGACAATTGGTTAAATTGTTAAGATGACAAGAGATAACGCAACAAATAATTTTTCTTATAATTTTAACCTCTTTGTTTCATAATGAATATTATAATACAATATCTACAATAATATATATAATAGTATGGTATAATACACAAATAATATCAGTATATTACTGTTTATTTAGACATAAGTTAAAGGCTCCATGTAACCTAACAAAGACTACTAAAATTTTACTACTAATAATATAGTAATACTTATTTAAGAAGAAAAACATAACCATGAACAGGAGTTGTATCAAATTGAGCTTTAGATTTTAAAAACATAAGAACTTAAGTGCTTTTCTAATAACAAATATGATATTATGGTTGGATAAAAACTTTTAAGGAAATCTAGATAATTTTTGAATTTTTAAAATTAATCTACCTTGGCCCATTGAGGCTGTATCCTAACAGTCTCGTTAGCATCCTGAAGAGACAAGTAATGTTGATCCAATTTCAAGAAAGCAAATGATCTGTTGCTGTATAAAACGTAGTTGCTAGGATCCATTTTAATTGCATGAGTATAGTGAAGAACGGCTTCAATGAATTTTCCTTCTTTAACACACTCATTTCCTTTGGTTTTTAGTTCTTCGACACTGGTCCCCTTTTTTTGATCATCCATGATTTTCCTAAATTAAAATCTTTTTAACAATGAATCACCTGCATCTAACTGATTATATATTATGTTTTAATTAAATTAATTTTTAATAATAAAGAAAAGAATATTTTAAGATAATAGTAATATTTTAAGAGAATAACCACAATAGAATACTTTTTGAAAATCTAAATAATCAGACACAGATAAGAGAGACTATGTTTAAATGAATCTGTTAGGAATCTGTACCCTAAGAGCAAGAAATTACATAGAAGGAATGATAACATAAAAACTGTAAATCATATGGTTGTCTCTTTTTTTCTTACGCAAATATAATTAGTAAAAAGAGTACAAAAGATACACCATCAGTTGCTAGTTTTCTTAATTCATAGCAGGTTAGTATATATGATATGTCAATTATTTTACATTACTAGATAATAAATAACAAATTTTACATTACTAGATTATATATTCGACATAGTTTCTGTAGAAAGTATGCCAGCAGGTTGTGTCTAATTTGGTAAGTTTATACGGCTATATAACATTTTCTTTGTCAAATATAACACCTTAACAGCGATGAGACAATACTTTTTAGATTTTATAATACCCATAATTATCAAGTTTAACGTTATTTTTCAAAGTGATTAGACATTTATTAATAAAATTGAAACAGACATACAAAACATGATGAGTTCTATTTTGAGTTGCTTTATGAAGTTATATAAATACTACTCCACTTCAGTCAATAGATCCAAGTTCAAGAATGCATCTCCTTCCTAAATAAAACATATATCTGGTTACAAACGTAGCAATGACATTGGAATCATTAAAAGATGACGTTAGAATGGGAATCAAAAATTGAAGAATCCCTTAACAGATGTCAATCATTTTTGAACGAGCTGAGTAACTAATTTCTGTAAAGACTTTTTTTTTTTTTTATACAACTTAGAATGGCAAACAAGCTGACGGCCCACCTGATGGAAAGTGGTCATCGTCGCCTATAGACATGAGCAGTACCATGGACATAACAGAGTATACTGTTTCGCCCATAATGTTTGTACCCCCCATGCGTTGCCATTCCTGAGGACTCAGATGTTATTCCTCTGTACCCTGTAAATTCACGCCATATCCCACCCTTCAAACCGAAACACAGCCATGCAAACATAACTGCTTCACGGTTGAAACACGAATGGGACAGAGGTACCCAAGCAATCGACTTTTGTACAAAGTCTACCTCTGGTACAAGATAATCTCTGCCTGTACAAGATAATTTTTTGCAGGATTTGTCATTTATCAATCATCAAAAGGCTGTGTAAGTGATTCTTGAACTCTGATAAGAATATTCCAAAGGTTTCCTAACTTAGTTGCAACAAAAAACATGCAAATTGTTGATAATGAATATAGAGAATTAAAATTATATGTTTCTGTGTCTAATTTATTGTCAACTACTAGTTCGTTGTTTGAAACTTTTACGGTGGATAAATTTTAGAGTAAAGTTAGCCAAGTCTGTGATGCGAATAGCAAACCAAAGTATGGCAATTTGTCCTGATTTGTGAAGCAAATGACGACATTTGTCAAACACCACAGTAAAAAAATATTTTCCGATATTAATAGGATTAAAAATCAAGATCGAAATCGATTTAATAATATGAATGTTGTGGCAATAATGCATGAAAAAGAGGGACTACGACAGTTGGAAAGAGGATGTAGCAGATTAGATCCTGACAGAAGTATCATCAAATTAATGGACTCAAAACACCTTTATGACAATGTTTCCTAACATAAAGACGAAGAGTCTTTAAGTTTTATTATTTTTTTAATTATATTTTTATTTAGAATTAAAAAAAAAATGGTTTCTTTAATAAATGGTGGTTTCTTTGTTATTTTTATTATTTTACCGTTTAATCAAGAAAACATTCATGTTTTTAAGTTGTAAGACGATATAAAAAAAATATAATTTTAAGTATTTTCTCTAATGGTAGAATTTCGCTTTTTAACCTCCACAAGCAGTAGATTCGTCAAATGAAATCTGGTCACACTGTTTGTGCAAGTTTCTTGTGTCTATGCTTTAGACATAGTCTCATTAATCTATGGCATATTTTTTTTATCATTTACTTATTTTGCATATATTTTTTGTAGTGCATATTTTGTGTTTTAAATTCTATTAATATTTAAAATAGAAAATTTGTAAAAAATCTTTATATGTTGTTACTCTCTAGGGTATTTTTTTTAAAGACGCCACAATTGGCGGACCCCGGTCTCAGACTAGGAGCCGTTGCGAAAGTGACGGCACTCCCTAAGGGTATTCTCTTTATGGGTGAAAATGGTATGGTAACGATAACTCCGCCTGCGCTAATGGGGTACGCTGGCGGAGCACCAGTTAAGGGTGATAGATGAGAATGAAAACAGGTCAGTTAGCCCATCATGATAAATTCATCAGGAATTAACCATGATAGTTTCCAGGGGGAACCCGAGGAGGTCGACCTGGTTGGGTATATTGATAGCAATGGGATTCTCAGTCTCCATTACTAACAATCCCTTCCCCTCCCCACCCCAAGGGTATTTTTTTTAATGAATGAAGATGGAACGGTAACCCCATCTGCACTATCGGTATACGCTGGCGGGGTACCAGTGTAGGGTGACAGGTGACGATGAAGGCAGGTTAGTTGGCCCATAGTGACCAATTGAACAAGAATTAACCACTATGGTTTCCAGGGAGAACCGCATGGAGGTCGACCTGGTAGGGTGTATTGCTAGCAATGGGGCTGTTGAATCTCATTACTAAGAAATTCTATTATATGCTTAAATACCTAAATGATTTTTATATATTAATTGGTATATAAACAATTCATATCTTAGATAGATTAATATATTTTTATCTTAGTCGTAGAATATGGATACTTAAAACTTTATTTAGGTTTGTTGATTAATCACAGTACAGTACACAGTACCACAGTATGTTATTTAATAAAATCCATTCCTTAAAACAGCAACACTATGTCAATGGCAGTACAAAATAATACACACATACTACATACCATGTATTATTATTATATTGTTAATTAATAACAATAAATTAACTAAACAAAATATAATCAATACCTTCAATAAGATTCAGACTCCTGAGATTTTTTTCAAATTCACCATTAGTGAGATCTAATTTAACACAAATTAATAAAGGCAATTTAGCATCTTTAAAATGGACCACAGGTAATATTTTTAATACTTCTCTTTTGATAGGACAGTATAATTCAACAGACTTACCTATTTTCTTTTTATCAACATCACAGAATGCTATAACTTTATTACGTGTTGTCTGACTTAGGGATCTTACAAATTTTCTTCCTGATTTACCTGCATTCCAAACAGTGAACCTTTCCCAATGTGGGAAAACGCATTTTTCTAATTGTTCCAACTGAATTTTCTTAATTTTTTTCTGATCTATAGAAAATGTTGTGGCTCCTTCATGGTATCTATATATTACCAACTTTTCATCAATCCTATGAACATCTCCTCCTAAATCCAAATGTTTATAAAAAAATATGAGATCTTCTGGTGTGCCATGACCTGTTTCATCAAAACCTCCAACTTTTTCAAAAATAGATCTGTGACAAAACCATGTTGGCATAAGTAATGTTGGTCCATTGGATGTGTATATTTGTAGTTTCTGTTGCAGTGAATTAATAGTGTTTGCCCAATGAACAAAACGTGGTGTAGATGATGCAGGTATTCGAGATATTTGACTGCCAATAAGAGCATTATGATTAGAATATGCAGCCCTCCACTGTAGAAGTATTCTGTTTTCATGCATAATATCATCTATATCTTGAAAACAAAGAAAAGTACCCACACTACTCTTGACAGCACCATTTTTGGCAGCTCCAACACCTCTTGATGTTGGTGAATTGGTCAAAATGAACTTTATTCCATTAGAATTAAAATATTTAGCCCATTCATCAAGTAATTGTTTTGTACCATCATTACTACCATCATTGAAAACAGCTATTTCTATTTTTAACTTTGTTTTTAATATAGATTGAGCACTTATGGATTTCATACAACTATTTATCCATTTTTCACCATTATGTATTGGAATAATAATAGAAATATCAGCCATTTTATATAATGAAATATATTACATATCATTTTTCATTATAATTAGAATGAGCCATCTATCCTGGATATCGGTCGTTTTAGTAACTTTTCACAATAAACAATTTAATACTAGTTATTAATATGTAAATTAACAGAGACAGGTATACTCAGGTACTTTAAAATATAAGATTTCAATTATATAATGAGATTTAAAATATAATTTGCTTTAAGGCAAATCGTCTAATTGTTCCCATTTGCAGAAATAAATGGGTAAAATAATAAGAATATTATTTTCAATGTAATAAATGCCTTTAGTCTATCATTCCAGTTTTGTTTTTGCTTCTCTTGTACCTAAACAAATATAAAACCATAGTTTAATAACATTACATGACCGTTTCTGTTTTGAAAAGATCGATATGATTAACAAATGTGTATGGCCTTAAGACATAACCTGCAATTTTTTTTTTTAATTATAAGTCAATATTTTACCTCAATTTAATTTCAGAGTCAGAGAATCTGGCTGTCTAATTTCAATCATCTAATACTAGGTATTTAGTTATACATTTAGTTTATTTACACACTAATTAAGGTAAAAATCTAATAAATAAGGTATTTAAATACTTATCTAATTAATACATTATAATATTAAATATTTGTCATGAATATTCGTGAGAGCATTTTAACTACTTACCACAGAGCAAATAGTCAAGTTACCACAGATTATAGATCAGAGAGAGACTATGTATAAAGCACAGATTAAAGAGTTTATGTCTAAAGAATCATTACGTTATGAGTTGGCACAATCTTTGGTCTAATATACACATATTTATATATAGATAGATAGTACACACTACACTACTATGACTATGGAATGGACATTCATTTATTTTCTTAACGTAGGTAGTTAGTCGTTACTCTGTGACACTTAGTGATTTCTTGACAGACTTATCGTTTTAATAATATTATTATAAAAATCTGTGTTATATTATAAAATTTCAATTCGCGCTATTTACCTACGAGAACGTAAAACTGAATTTTGAATTTTAAATTGATTGGTGCTTGTTCAAAATGGGCATCAAAGAAGCAAATATCTATTTAGATAACCAACTCAATACTTATTACGCCGGCCAAACTATTAATGGTAGAATTGAATACGTATTTGATAGTCCAAAAAAAGTCAGAGGTAGGTGTATTGTTCAAGTTATTTTCATTCAAGAAGGTAGCAAGTATTTAAGTATTGCAAAATATTAAGAATATATATATGTATATATATTGAATTTTCGTTTAAGGTATACATGTAAAATTTAAAGGCGAAGCACATACTGAGTGGTATGAGAGTAAGCAACAAGAAAATGATCAAGGCAAAACTGAATCTACAGATACAATGCACACAGGGAATGAAGAATATTTTCAAATTTCATACTATTTACTTGGCAGCAATACTGGTTAGTATAAAAAATCATTGTAAATAAGTGCTGTATGAATAATGGGTGAATGACATCATCCATCATTATATATACCGTTTTTTATGTAACTGAGATCATATTTTAGTTATTTGTCACTATCATCATCATATTTTAGTTCTATCAACTTTTATGGTCACTTAAGGATTGGATTTACAATTTTTGCAGAATTGATAATGTAAACATTGGTAAAAAAAATACTAATAATAATTTTATCTGGGATGATTATAGTAGTAGGCTTTACAGTATTTTAGTAGAAGCAAAATATATTTAATTTTTTTCAATATTTAATGAGTTATATATTTATGTTCAGGTAATGAGATAGAAATTCCATCTGGCAAGCAAGTATACAACTTTACCTGTACACTGCCTCCTGTGTTACCTTCATCATTTGAAGGTGAATTTGGATATATCAGGTACACAGTGAAAGTAACTTTAGACAGGCCTTGGAAATTTGACCAGGAAACAAAAATGGCCTTCACAGTTATTAATGCACTTGATCTAAATCTCAATCCATCTTATAGAGTAAGTATTAAAAGCTTATTTACATGAGTAAATAGTTATAAATTTTAATGAATAAAATAATTATTATTATAGGTGGGAACATTATAGTGCAATGTGGATGACAGACAGATTATATTTTAGTATCCAATGTAATTATAGCTTTTTTAATAAAAAGTAAAAAAAATGAAGTTGGTTCTATAATACTTAATTGAATAAATAATAATATTGTTTGTTTTCTCCTCAATGTTTCACATAATAACAAAAATCTTTAAGTTATAAAACAATCCAATTTTGTGGTGAACTGGCACTTGTACTAGGTATCCAAAGAACTTGTGTCACAAGTTACTAGGTCACCCTAACTAATACATGAATAATGGTAGGCATATAATACTAAGTATACATTGTCATTGATACTATTTGTACAAGATATTCCTTTTTAAAAGACCAGCAGCACACCTGCAATGCTGTTGGTGTTGTGGGTTTGGTGTTTGCCCCCTGTGTTTTTAAAAAAAGTATTGTGTCATTTTGCAAAAGAAGGCAAATGGAAAGAAGTGTGTGAATGAAATGTATATGAAAGTAATGGTGAAAGAAAGCTATATCAAATGATGCAATCAGTAAATTTATAATGCTATTGGCAATGGCAGTAAATTCAAAATTACTTATATGCAACATCTTTTGGTTTTTTCGTTAGAAACATAATAGTAGTTAAATTTGGTTTATTTAATTTTATTAATAACATAATTTAATTTTAATTAAATTTGGCTTGCATTTGTTATTGAGATCAGTCAGATTTTCAAATTGAATTGCATGGATTTTTGTAAGAAATATAGGTGTCCCATGAAATATGGGATAGTTTGCTATAATATTACAATATTATAAATATGTATATGTAAAATAAAATTTAAGATGCTTATTTTGCTTATGAAAATAAATGTATATTAGACTGGTATGTTTAAGCTTAGTCTTTATTGAAAAATGAATTAAAAAAAAATACTATAATAAAACCTTTTTAATTTCAATAGAGAGAAGAAGACAGTAATTTTCTGTACTAATTATACTAAATATAGAAAAACATATTTTATGTGCAATGTAAATATAGATTTTATATTAACACATATTTCAAAGCAATCATTTTGAATTTTGAGGCAGTTTAAAGTAGTAGAAAATTACTTTTTATATAATCAGTCATACAAAAGTGTCTAAAATTGTTTGTTTTGAAATTTAATAATGTAGATCTTGGTAATAAATAATGCTTATTTAAAACTATCTAAAAGGTAAAAATTCTTTGTTCATTCTTGTTTAGTTAGTAGGTATATAAATTAAGTATTATATATTTGCGTTATTTAAATGGTTAATGTAAGTTAACACAATTATTTTAATAGTATGTTAATAAAGGTCATTATGATGATTATGAAATTTATAATTAGCTAGTTTAGAAGGTAATAAAGCAGGACCCCTTCCTTATGTCCCTAACAATGCTTCAGTTCTGGTCTGACCGCCGTGCGGTGCGAACTGTCATTATGATGATTATGAAATTTATAATTAGCTAGTTTAGAAGGTATTAATGTTTACTATCAGAAAAAAAAATGATTATGTATGTGAAATAAATAATATATCTTAACATTACAATTACTTGTTATACAATGAATGTTGAAAAATTATTATACAATATGATGACAAACATGTTTTATGGACTACGTAAAAACTTAAATAATGGGATAAGGTCTCAGTCACAGATTAATGGGAATTGTCATATTGATTTGATGTGGATATGATTTTTCACACATTTATGATTAACCAGTTATTCAGGATTTCATAAAAATTGGTTCTTCATTAATAATTTATCTAAATGATATAAAAATTATATTTCTTTTTCTTTCTTTGAAAAAATATTTGTTATATAGATTTATTATTTTTATGCTTTTACATACGAACAGTGAAGCACGAATATTTAAATTTTTTGTTTATTGATATATTTAAAATAGTTGTGTCCCGCAACTTTGCTCATAATCATGTCATGATGTTGAATAACCTCAAGAAATGAGCTGTCAAATGTAAAACGAATTTTTCGAATCCAACTAGTAGCTTTAGAGATTAGCGCGTCAAACAAACAAACTTCTGCTTTTTTATATTAATATAGGTATTAATATAGTATTTTAAAATATATTTTTTCTTTTTTGTGCAACCAGGAACCAATACATATACAATTGGAAAAGACATTTTGTTGCTTTTGCTGTGCTTCTGCCCCTTTGTCCCTTGATGTACAAGCTCCGGTTACAGGATATTGTCCAGGGCAAGTGATACCTATACGGGTTGATGTCGAAAACAAGAGTAATGTTCAAGTACATCTTGTCAAAATATTTTTGAGAAAGGTACGAATTAATATATTTTAATAGCTTATATTATATTGTATCTGAATGTTCTACTTTGTATGTTGGTATACTTTTAAAGCTTTCTTTTAATCGTAGTGAAAGTTGATTTTAATTGTGCCATTTAAGGCCTATTTATATGGTGCGAGCAATTTTGTGATAGCAATTCTATTCAATCCATCTTTGTAATCACCTATTTGTTTTTTGTTCCCTAAGATTTATTAATCTTTCCTTAAAACTTTTTACCAAAAAGAAAACTGTTGAGATTCATAGCAATTGAAATAAATTCTATTCCTTACTCCTATTCCATTACTTCGTCTATTTGCTAGCTAGCTAGGAATAGATAAAAGGATTTCTTTTGTAATTAAAATCTAAGTGTTTTGCAGGTTGTTACATACAGAGCCACGTCACCATCTACAGCAACCAAAAAAACAAAGGATGTTATAGTAACTATTCAGGAAGGTCCCGCACCAGCTGGGACGACTAAGAATTGGAATTTGCAACTTGAAATTCCACCTATACCTCCATCAAATTTGGTGAACTGCAACATCATTGATTTAGATTACGATTTCAAGGTATAATTTTCATCTTTCTCATATAAAAAATAAAAATTATTTTTATTATGGTGACATAAAAAAACAACTTTATGTTATATTTAAAAGAAACTGTAATAAGTAATATTAAAACGCTTGATCCGTTTTGTGCTTTTAGCTTAGAAAAAATTATCGAGGAGGGGGGGGCTTTGTGATACAATAGTATTATGAGAAAATTATGAGTACTATTGTTGATTCCTAAACAACTAATTGTATTAATACTAATTTTATATACTTGTTATTACCCAGGTGGAATGTGTCGTGTCTGGTATGCATATGAATATGAAAGATAAGAAATATGTGACCATTGGTACCGTGCCACTAGTAGGGTTAGCGCGTCAAACTACACCAACGCCGACGCAACCCACCGGCCAGTACTCTCCAAGCCAGCCTGCTGTGCTACCCGTGGGACCGGGTCAACCTGCTCAACCCACTGTAAGTAGTTTTACCTATTACTGTGTTGAAATGAAATGTAAGTCTCGCGGAAAATGAGTATATGATTTACATTAGTAGAAGTTCTTTGTTGCACGATCGAATTATAGAATTATTTTCTTTTTTTGTTTTCTTTTAAGTTTGGCTAATATACAAATAGTAGTATATTATTTATATGTTAATAGTATGGTAGTCTTTCCATAGAGATGGCTGTTGCAAAGTTGTCAAATTTGTGGCTATTCCTTAATCTTAAAGCTTGAGACGTAATGTCGAGTATGAGTGTCCTATTAGTATAGTATAGAAAAATAAATTGTTATTTTAATATTGTTGTAATTATTAATAACAATTCTAGTGGAATTTTATTTTATATTTTTTTTATTTTTATATAAACACTATATGTTCATATTGTAGTGTAATTTATTCAATTATCATCCTAATTCACGGTTAATGTCTTAATATTTATTTATTAATTAGTACATATATGTGTATATGTCGGACTTAATGCTAAAAGCATTTTCCCCCAGCCAACCATAGGGAACTGTCAGAATACTCGATGGCGGTACTAGTAATTATTGATATATATACATACTAAAATTACATATATAAACAAATAAATATATATAAATAACAAATATTCTTACACATATATAAAATTATATACGAAATTGAGATTAATATTTTAAGGCATTTGCCTTTCCAGTAAGTCATTCTATTGTGTAAGTCTATATAATATTAATAGTGCTTATAAAATAATTTGAGCTTTCATTTATAGGCGCCATCAGCACCTAGTGGCGAACCAACACCTGGAGGGTGGGTAGTGCCGGGGACAGCACCGGCACAGCCGCCTTATCAAACTCTCTATCCCACACTTAGTGAGTATTGATTTACAACAGACTTTATATTCGTATATTGGGTTGCTATCCATGGAGTGGCAGCGAAGACCATTAAATTGGCTGTTTGGCTAAGAACGACTTTCTTTCGTTCTTGTCAATTTAGAGGAAGTGCGTTTTTAAATGACAATTTATTTGCTGTCACTCTGCTGTAATCTTATAAGTCGAAACTTCGTGGTATGTTGCTGTAACATTTTTCTTGTACGGTATACAGTGAAATCAGTAGTAAAAGTAACAGTAAATATTAGGTCCTTACATATGAAATTGGTGTTTTGTACGGGAGGAATATAAAGTGAGTTTTTTTTTGTAAAATATAATTAATTAATCAAAGTATACACCGTTGTTATCTATACACTTTTGCCAACTCATAGGTAGTTCATTGATCCCTTTATTAAAAATCATGGGGACGAGAATCAATAAAGTCTTTAAAAGGCGGTTTGGACTGTCGAATCGGAGTTGAATTTTATTCCTTGTAAGAAGTTGTCCAAATTCCGGAAAAAAGTGGTAATCTGTTGGAACAAGGTTCGGGGAATACGGTGAATGTCGCAAACATTTCATCATCTCATCTAACTTAGTGGTTGTTTATTGTACAGTATGTGGTCTTGCGATGTCGTGAGGCAGCAGTGCTCTAAAGCGATTAACCAATCTCGGTTGTTAAGCAGCTAGTTTTTCCTTCATGGTCTGCAGTTGCTAACAATAGATATCTGCCGTAATCGTAAAATCTGGTCATTTTAGAAAGCTGTAGTGAACGACACCGGCGCTTTGATGGACTATCAAACACTCACAAGTAACTTTTTCTGAGTCAATTTTAGTTTAGGGCAGGATTTGGCTGGGTCTCCAGGGTACACAGTACTACGGGGTACAGGGTACAGTATCCACTTTTCATCACAAGTAATATTCCATGAGGTACCCATCGTTCAAGTTTTTTTTTTACTTTCCAGATTTGCTTCAAATGAATTAATACAGTTTTATCACTTACCTCGAAGCCTGCAGCTATCTCTGAAGTGCTTTGTGATGAATCCGATTCCACAATACCTTTTCTTCTTTATTTTCTACTTTGGTTTCCGGCCATCCACGGGGTTGGTTTTGAAGGTCGAAATTTCCAAAACGAAAACTTTAAAACCAAAAACGTACCGTGCTTTCTTTAGCACTACTAGCTCCGTTAACATCATCAATCCTTCGAGCTGTTTCTGTAGCACTGGTGCCACGGTAGAACTCATACTCGTAAATATACCGATATTTCATGTTTTCCATTGTGCGGTAATAGGCGACGCCAAAGAAAAAAATAATGAGGAAAAAAAAAACAAATGAATAACTGTTTTCAAAACTCAAATGTATCAGCTAAATGAATTTATAAATTTGAATTTGGAATTCATAACTAAAGAGGAGATAATTTAGATCAGAGTGGTCAGTACGACAAAAAGCTAATTTAATATGTAAGGACCTAATATAAAATTTACAAGTGGCATTACCAGCGAAGTTTTTAAAAATTATAAACGCTCTCAGCTAGTAATTACTTATTAGATTTGTTACTTGTGTAATAAGTCAATTCAATTTCGTTTCAATTTCAAAATTTTATCAATTCCAATTCGTATATTACGTATGGTTGTTGTATTAATTAACATACGTGCGAAAAAAAGGAGGTGCGAACTCACGAAGCACCTCCTTTGCTTTCTTTGGTATGTAGACTACTATCAAGGCCTTCACAGTAAAAGTTTTCTTATACTACGAAGGTGGCAAGTAAGCTTATATCCCGTTTGATGGTAAATGGTTATTGTAGCTTATTATGTAGTTCCAACTCTAGGGATGTCACCTGTGCGTTGCCCACTTTGAAGAAACAAATACATCCAATTTGAAGAACTTCATACTGTAGTCTCTAGTTCGTGCGAATTCAAAAAAGCATACATAGAAAATGAAGAATGTGTTCTTCATGAATGCCGTAACAATTAATAAAGGCCACACCTGTCATACTAACGTAAAACATAACATAAATTATTATTATATTAGCTATTTAAGAATGGATATGTTGAATACACACGTGAAGTTCTTGGTGTTGCAGGCGTCCATAGACTACAGTGATCATAAATTATTAGAAGTTGTATAACTTTTTGCTAACTTTGTGAATTTTCAACAACATGGATCTATATTTTGTTTCCTTACAGCGGAACCAGTATATAAAGAATCTCAATACATGGCAAGGACTATCCAGGACAGAGGCGATAATAACCACACCCAGATAACTGGGCCTAATAATTTTGCTCCTTATTACCCAACTTACGCTGCCGTACAACCTCCGCCTCTACCTCAATAATTACTTTGAAGCTTTATTAACATGTACCAGATATATATTTTGATTTAAGCTATAAACACTTTATATTGTACTTGTAATGAAAAGCACAAGGGTGATTGTGGCTTGCCTTACCATTTTTATTTTAGTATATTATTATATTTAATACGGTGCTAATATTTTGGTATATGTTTAATATAATATTACGATTGGAATAACAGTTTAATGACTTATTTGTTATATCAAATCGCGATTTGATATAACAGATGAAAACCATTTTAAGAAGCGATAAAAGTACCTAATTGTGCATGAAATTGAAGCTAACAAAAATAGAATGACCTTATATATTATTCAGCTAAGGGTTTTATTTGCTTGCTCAAGGTAATATGCAAATTTTATTCTGCCATAGGAGTAATGATATACTTGATAATTAAAAACAGTTGCTAAGCCAATGTTTGATCAAATGATAAGCTCATTCTTATAAGTTGTAGTTAAGCAGGTAGTCATTAGCGAGATACTTTGGAATGTTGTAGTAAAATTAAAGCAGATTAAATCACTCGAGTTTTGATCTTTTTAGCCAACTTGTGTGGTAAGGCAAGGGGCCAGTGGTTTTTTGTACTTTTGCAATTAGATTTTATTTACTATTGAAATTGTAACTGACATTAAATTTTGTATTCAGATATTATGATGTTATATAAGTCTTCTATATTTTATTAATCATAATCATGTTATTTTATAATAAAACGAAAAGTTATAAGACAGTTTTTTATTGATTTTCCTTCACAAAAATATAAAATAAAAATGACATTTCAAAATAACAACGAAGCGACAGTATGAAGATATTGTTATTGTTAAGTCAATACATGTATATAATGCCTCAAATAAATATTTAACAATATATTTTTTCATTATTTGTGAACTTATAAATTAACAGGGAAAATTTTCTCTTGTCGATATTAGTTTCATTATTAAAAACTTAAATTGCTTTTTAATAGGACAATCATGAGTTGTTTGACACGCTTTCTTTTATTATTGGCATCAAATATATGAAATAAAAATTGTAGTTCACATTCGTACTGTTAAAACAATTTTTTAACTGTATAAACTAATATGAATTTATTAATCTTTCTTTCCCAGAATTGTTTATCGTTTCATCGCAAAAAGGAGAAATGTACTTAACTAATCTTTGTTGGGACAATACATAAATACAAGGCGGGCACCTCTTTTTAAAATTACTTTGGAAGCATATGGCTTCGGTTCGTCCATTCAATATTAATCGACATTCAATTGTTTTAATTTCGGTCTCAAACTCCATCGTGTTTATTAAATAAATTTCGTGTTATAACTATAACACAAAGGATATCATTTCATAAATCTATCCATCTATCTATATAGAACAAAATATAGACTAAATGGTTGCACTGGCGAACGACAAAAGTAAATTTTGTTTCTTTTATTAGAGAAATAAAGAGCCAATGAACATATAAAATCACTGACTATGAAGCTATAGTCAATAATTTTCACGAACGAATAAATTACAGCAATAGCATAGGACTCTGACATAATCATTCAATGATTTATTTTTCCATGTATTTGTGAATTATAACCTGGTTTTCAATATTTGCCACAATTAGTAAACCATCTTGGCATATCTTTTTTATCGAAGTAACAAGTGTATATGCAATATAGAATGACAAACAGACTGTCCAGCTGGAGGAAAGTGATAATAAGCACCAAAGTAAAACAGTAAAACAGCTGCTTTGAGAAAAGAAAATAAAAAGAGGGCTAGAGGTAGGTCAAAAGTGAGAGAATTCAATAAAAGGACATTCTAAAATTAAATTTACCAAATGTTCCAAATACTCATCGTTATCACATCAAGCTGGCGTCGGCGCTGTAGATACTATGTCCAGTGCTCGTATAAAAAAAATCTTGTGTAAATCAATATATAAACCTTAAAAGAGCGCCGGCGTTGCATCTGTTGGAAACCGATCTCCAACTGGTGTATCATATGAAGATACCACTTTGCATGTTTATTGAAAACATGCCTTGTGAGCGTTTTTAAGATGGTACGAATAGGGGTGAGCTTGTTTGTCACTTCTAAATTGAATCATTACTAATCTTAAACATATCCTCCGTTACGTTCTAGCGTTAAAATAGGATTACATAGATAATAATTTTTATGCTAATTTACAAGTAGGTAAGTTTGTTATTAGCACTTGACACTTTAATTAATAATTAAATGATCCAGCATGAAATTAAATGAATACGAAGCCTTAAGACTTTCGAGAGATTTTACCTCACTGCGTTTTCTATCTGTTATACAATGGATTGTGCTCAGAGGAAATGTTTAACATAATGCCCACAGCTATTTTCTACCATCGTACACCTCGTCTCAATGACGAGGAATTCACCCTTATAGCTTAGAGCCTAGATGGTCGCGACAGCGCGGTTCTCCCAAGAACGCTCAGATTATAGAATGAGCTCCCTATTGAGGTTTTACTACCCATGATACTACAGCATGGAGTTAAAAAAAAGGGGTTTATTCGAGATCGGCAACGCGCGCGTAATGCTCCTGGTATTGCAGGTGTTCATAGGCTACGGTAACTGTTTACTGTGAGCCGTATGTATGAAAAAAAATTGGTAAGTATTTATATTAGTATTTAGCTTATGCTACGTAGCATGGGCTACTTTTACCCTAGTACCTAAATAAATAAGTAACTGTTCCGCTAAACCGGATAAAGTCGCGGGGATACTAGTATAGATTATAATGAAATGATGTATATTCGTAACTAGTCATATAGTTACGAGTGCTCAACCAAAATTAATGTACTCATTCATTGTAATGTTAAATATAGACATGCTAATAGGTGGAATTTACACATCTATTAGGTTGTTTCGATGAACATGTTCATGGTAACTTTTCGATTCCAAATCAGAATCAACGAATTAGAAAATCGTACATTTTGGAAATCATAAATAAAATCTGAACTTATATTCATTAACGTCTGTTCACTGTAAAATGTGACATATTGATCAGTTTTAAAGGACATTAATTTTAAATCATATCCTAAATGTAACAAGTACATTGTAAATTATAACATTATATTATATTGAAACTCATAATTATCCTCAAATTTAAAATGCAAATTGCTGTTGGACTTATTAGTTATTCTTGCAGGCTCAATGGGTAATACATGTATGTTGAAATTTATAAAAATCGTTATATAAAATTCGATGTACTAATCAGAGGTGCCACTTTGTAGGAAGGAAAAACAATAAGTAGCCTTATTTTTTGTCTACAACTTTAGATCTGACACTTTTTGATACCATAATGATATTAATGAAGATGTTGTGAACCTCCCTTTAATGAAAAGAAATGATGAAGTGTATAATGTATAATATACATAATATTACATAGATATCGCCTAATAAACAAAATATTTACTAATACACTTAGTTTACCTTTATGTCAAAGTAAAATTAAAGAAATTATGATTTCAAAGGCGAATGGAGATGGTTAAATATTTAGTCTCATTTGATTCTAGGTAGCACTTTATATTAATTTAGACGTAAAAATGAACATGCAGGCCTTGAGTCAGGTCTATTGCAATAAAGGGATGTCAATAGTTTCTCTGTATTGTAAATAATACAATAAATACTTTTAAAATACCTTCTAACAAGAAAATAATGGATGTTTTAAACAGGAAAAGGCTTGTTTATTCATTTTTAAATCCATAAAACAAATTAACCTGTGATGTTTACAAGTACATGTAAAATGTTGATGTTTGTGCAGTTATGGAAGTCCTTGGAGTAATGTTTTAGAAAATATAATTTCATTCAATTGAGGAATTTTAACTCACTGAGTTATGCTGCATTTTTGATGTGCTACGTAATTTTCTATCCCTGTAATGTAACAATGAATTTACTTTACCCACCGGTACTCGGTGCGTAAATGCGTTCCGCGCATGGTAACAGGTTGCCATGACACATTTTCTAAGTTTCGAGTTTACACTCATTATGGTCAATGGCCGAAGACGTAGTTATCGTCACGGTCGGATTCCGCCGCCGGCGCAAGCTGAAGAATCCCCTGCTAACGAGACGTGGAATACAGGATCCTCTATCTGCTGCTACACCCAAATTTGGTTCGTCTTCGGTCAGGCGTACGATGCGCATCGGCGTATCTCGTCAAAACCATGTCTGCTGCCACCCCTGAGGAGTGCGGTCGGCTGGTGCGGCCCCGCGGCGGTCCGGCCGGCGCTCTCAATACTGGCTGCAGCGCGCTCGGAATCCGCCCTGGTACGTGGAGTCCTGCGACAGCAGGCCGTCGGGCTGCGACGGGCAGTCCGGAGCCGTCGACTCCTGGCTGAAGTCCGGCTGAGAGGCGCCTTGTGATAGCGACAATGGTGGTTGTTGTGACAGAGGTTCTTGTGACAGACGCGGCGGCCGTTTCCTACCGCTACGCTGGTTGGCGCCTATAGGTAGGCGTTGTAAAGGTCGGTGGGCCGAGAAGGCCGCGGGCGGTACGGGAGCGTGAAGCATTGCGGCCCGCTCCGGCCCCACGTATGCCAATGGATCACGCAGCGGACGAGCGCGGTCGTATACCGAGCCGGGAACCATGGCTTCGCGGGCGTCGAACATTGATGTCGACATAAAGTGCGACCCCGGATTTTGGGCATTTACCAATTTTTTGGGCTTCGCAAATTGGATAGCAGACTCTTTCAAGTTTGATAGTGGCCCCTCTGTTAACACGCGTCGTTCCTTGTAAAATGCCAGGAGGTGATTCCACAGTGGTTGTTTACTCAGTACTTTAGGATTTCCGACGACGATAAGACCATATTTTGCACGCGTCAGTGCGACGTTAAGACGACGTGGATCGCTTAAAAAGCCGATTCCCTGATGTTCGTTGGAGCGTACGCATGACATAATAATTATGTCTTTTTCTCTGCCTTGAAAAGCGTCTACGCTAGCAACTTCTATTTCCTGATACAATTTCGCGTGCAAACTACCCTGATATTGCATATGCTGCACGAGGTAAGATCGTTGACCTTCATAGGGAGTAATAATACCAATTTGTTCAGGACGCACTCCAGCCTTCAAAAAACGAGTTGTAAGTTTTTCAACATTAGCCGCCTCAGTTCTATTTAAGTAAGATGTTCCTGATCCGGCAATTTCTTCTTGACCTTGAGTTACGTAGAAGAACATTGGACGGTCTGGTCTCGGCCAAGGAAAATCGATCTTGTGCAGGCGACGCTCTTCAGCGCTAACCCCATTTTGTAAGGAACCCTCATAAAAGAAATCGGATGGGAAACGAGAGAGTTCTGGGTGCATACGGTATTGTACTTCTAGACGGAAAGGACGGATACCTAACACAACTAACCGTTCAAAAAGACTCTGACTAAGGCCTGCTTTAGCAGCTTTTTTGCACATGACAACGGGTCCTAGCTGACAATGATCTCCTACGAGGATCAGTTGCCTGGCTCCCAGTACGACTGGTACCATGCATTCGGGCTCTGTAGATTGCATGCCCTCATCAATAAGTATAGATTGGAAACGCATGCGAGCAACTCTTGGGTCTCCAGCACCAACGCAAGTAGTACACACTACATCTGCAGCATCTAAAAGACGTCTTTCAGCAGCGCGACGTAATGCGCGGTATCTTCTTTCATCAGCAGCTGATAATTCACCAGCTTCTTCCTTGAGTCTAGTCAACTTACGTAACTCGCTATCAACAGATCCAAGTGCGCGAGCTTGTTCATGTAGCGCTAAAAATGATACAGATGATTCCATAGCTTCTCTTGATTTTGCACATAATCTTACAACTTTCAATCCAGTTCTATGTATCTTTTCAGTAAGTTGGTCAACAGCAGTATTAGATGGTGCGCAGACCAAGACAGGTCCGCCATTCTGCCTTACTAATTGATAGACGATTGTCGCTGATGTTACAGTTTTACCTGTTCCTGGCGGTCCTTGAATCAAGGACAAGGGACGCTGTAAAGCGTGTTTTACTGCATATACCTGAAATTAGAACGAGCATGAAAACAACAATCTAATAATTAATGGTTTTATATATGTATACAATAGGAATAAAAATAAACGAAAATAGTACCTGTGATCTATTGAGATCAGGTAAATTCGGTGCACTGAAGTGTTTCGGCAGATGGACGCGAAACAAAACTTCCTCTACTTCATGACCTAATAAACGGCGATATATATAGCCGGATACTGATGAATCATCAACAGCGAACTTTCGTAGAGCCAATTGCATTCTGAAATATAAAATGTAAGGGAATAAAACACATCTTTGCAAAACATTATTGGAAACATCTTCCATATATTATTTTTTATACATTTTGTTTGACAACAAAATTAATAGGTAAAAAAGAGTATTATTATTATTACAATATATATATATATATATATATATATATATATATATATATATATATATATATATATATATATATATATATATATATATATATATATATATATATATATATATATATAAACAGATATCTGCAATGTGGTATGTATATATATGTATATATAGATCATTAGTGTGTTTATCACTCTCAATTATATTGTCTCCAATAATTGTTGTTATCTATCTCTAATTTCAGAAACATTGAGCTATCATTTTGTATTTGTTCATAATTATCTGGGTCTTGTTAAATATATATCTACACTAATATTGTAAAGAGATAAATTTGTAAGTTCGGATGTAATCTCCAGTACTACTGATCTGATTTTGAAAATTCTTTTACTTAGAAAACTTCAGTTAGAAAAGTATATTATCCTTAAGTGTATAAACGTGTGTAGATCAAATTGTTAAATAGGCTTTTTATTTTAATATTTTAGAGAATATTAGTGCAGTACTTTCACACATGTAAAAAATTAGCCCCACTAAAATGTGTTCAACAGTTTAAAAGTTACACATACAAATATTGCCCTAGTGTGAAGCCAGGGTGGATTGCTAGTAGATAATAAAGAATAAAAATAAAGAAACCTGTCGAAAGAAGTGCTCTTCCATATAAAATCAACAACGAAATTAGAAGTGCAGTCGAGAGGAGCGCCAGCACCACTCTTTAACTCAAGGCCCACATCGTCGCCATAGTTGTCAGGCACTTTGATCACGTGGCCAACACCAGCCCATGCCTTGTGCAGTTCACCAACATATCTAAAATATTTAAATTAATCGATTAATAAGTATACTTAATATTTCTAAAGATATCATACATGCTATCAGATAGATATCAGGTAAATAATGTCCTCTATACTAAAAATATATCTGTTTTCTTGGATACCAGACTACTTAACCCTTCTTTACATTATTTTTTTTTATTAGTGAAATAAATCAAGGTCATATAATTCATGTTCAAAGTTAAAGGAAAAATGGTTAAAAAAAATAAATTTGACAGCTGTTTTTTTTCTGCAATGGACATTAAAAAGGGATCCTGACACAATCAACTTAAAGTGAACTTGTTTTATTGTATAATTTTTGGGCATTCAATATTACGATGGAAATTTCCACCATTATGCAAAGCAGGGTTAAGATAATAAAATAAAATAAAAATTATGATGGCTTCAAATCACCTTGTAAAACTCGTATAAATTTAGATTCACTAACTTCATTATTTGGTTATTACTGTCAGTTAAATTTATATGTTTTTAGAAATATTCATATGTTTAAAGAAATATTAGTTGCCACACAATGTTCTATAATGTATGTTATAATTTAAGGGAAATACATTACCTCAATCTCAATTCATCTCCATGCATTAATTTCATATCACTATCAGTTTTAGCAAGTGTGAAGTAAGCAATAGTCTTCTTGTTAAGACCTACATCCCAGCGGACCTCAATTCCTTCTTGGGTTTGTGATTCTTTTAGCCGCTTATCATAATCAGCCTCCAATTTAACCAGTGGGCCAAATATATTTTGGTACTGGTAACCATCTTCATATCTAAAATTAAGACCAATAAACTTTCAGATATTCAAAATAAAATAATTTGTTGATATTTATCCTTGGATTTAAATTTATCGAATTCAAATACAGTACATAATAGGTGTGAACCATAATGATGAAATGTGATAAGTTATGTGAGTATTATTATAAAGAAAAAGTGGTATAGATATAAAAATCAAAATGGTAACTTTATCATTTCAATATAGTACAGTAAAATAAAAATTGCTACCCAACAAAACAACATTGATTGATAAACAACAAAAAATTTTGAGCTCCCAATGGATAACACAGGGTATCCAGTTGTTAAATAGTAAGAGGTAAAATTTTTGTTTATTTAATTTTTTTTACCAAATTTCTGTCCTTACATATTCTATACCATGGTTAGTTTTACATATCACTGATAATACACAGTGTTATAATAAGTAATGTTGTCACGTTGAAAAATAAGTTTGTTGTGGAAATATATGCATAAAAGATAATTACTAGATTCAATTTCGCAAAGTTTTTTCTATACATAATTTCACAGAGATGTAACCTTTAGTAATATTTGAATAGAGGCACTTTGTAGATAATTTTTGGTTGTATTAAATACTACCTCAGTAAAACTTGCTGTGGTTCTTCATCAACACCAGGTTTTTCCAAGTCCTGGAAAGTAGCATCTACATTGTCACGCCAGAGCTCTTCAAGACGTCCTATCTGCTGCGGTGTCACCTGCAAACATTGTGAATTGGATGATGTATGTAACTTGATATGGGTGAAATGACAGACCAAATTACTATTAGATTGTTTCTCCTTTTCAATTTAAATGTGTTAAATACAAGAAATATTATAAAGTTTTTTTTTTATACGACTTAGAATGGCAAACAAGCTGACGGCCCACCTGATGGAAAGTGGTAACCGTCGCCTATAGACATGAGCAGTACCATGGACATAGCAGAGTATACTGTTTTGCCCATGATACCCCCCATGCGTTGCCATTCCTGAGGACTCAGGTGTTATTCCTCTGTACCCTGTAAATTCACACCATATCCCATGCAAACACAACTGCTTCATGGTTGAAACACGAAGGGGACAGAGGTACCCAAGCAATCGACTTTTGTACAGTCTCCCTCTGGTGAATAATAAGTAAATAATAATACTAAATATTTTAACACATTATTAACATATAGTTATTGCTATGTTATTTATCTCAGGTCAGAGACGTAAATAAAGCCTTTAAAACAGAATTATATATATGGGGTAATTACTCCTTGTGCAATATTGACAAATAGCACCCAATATAACTTTTTATTTGCTATTTTGAGACTCTAGGCAAATATAATATTTAGTAAAAAAAAACGTCTTGCCATCAAGAGGCCTAAATTTTATTTTTGTGCTTTGGGTAAATACCCCTCTCCTTCTATGACTTTAAACCTAGAAAATAATAACTTAGGTTTTTGATGCATAGGTAGAAATTATGAAAGTTAGATATATTGTAAGTGATAATCAATCAGCTATCAATGCAATTTAGTTACTTTTTAATGTTTTTGTTAAGATCCTTCAATAGAAAGTATGTTTTAAAACTTATGTTTAAATTTATTTGGGATAATATACTTTTATAATCTATATCTTACCTGACGTGCCCTCATTTGTTCTGCTTCTGATGGAACTTTTACGAGCCATGATAGGAAAGCACGATCAGCTGTGGAAAATTGAAACCAAACCTTAATATTTTGTGATGATGTAAAAAAGCTTGTATTTAAATTACCATAAATTACTAAGTTATTTAGATAACTGTATTCAATGATAATTTAATAATTCATGTTGTTAAAATTGAATGAGACTTGTATACAGATATAATTAGTACTCAGGTATAAGTAAATATGTAAGACATCATAATTCCATTGTTATTTATTAAAAATAATTATACAGCTAATTTACAGAATACAGTTAACCAGTAAAAAAATCTTACTTACATATCAATGGTTTCCATTGTTCTTGATCCCAGTTCATATCTTTCAAAGAGCTCTGTGCAGCACATGGTTGACTGTAATTAATAAAAGCATTATATTACATATTCTTATTTTTCAATAATTTATTTAGTAGAAAATTTACTGTACCAAATTGTTTGCTATTATTTTAAAAGGTTTATTTTTTAAGCATAATATTCTTTATCTATATCAAACTGTATTTTTAACTCAACTTATTACAATTTATCATCACTGAAATTTGTTCTTTGCTCAGCCTAAATTTGCCATTTATTGCCTTGCCATTTTGGTTGTTCAAAACAAATAGTCAAACAAGTGGATTTCCACCATATAATAAGTGATATCTGTCATGCATTACCATTTCTGAGGACTAATAAATGTAATGCTTTTTAAAGTTTATTACTTTTTCCTCTTATAGTATAATGATAAGTAATTTTACATCTTTCAAGGCTTCTAAGCTTATAAGTAGATTGAAATCGCTTATCATCTTTCAGTAGAAAAAAATAAATACTAAATATATGCTTACCGACATAGAAGTACAACAACAGAATCAGCTTTAGCAGGTATGAAACCGAGGACAAACACATTGCGAGCACCACAAGAGTAGCACTCCAAGAGTGTCTCTCCAAGAGGACCATCACGATGCAAAGCTGCTTCTTTGTGTTTTGCTCTCACAAGATGGTTGATGATATGAGAGCCTGAAGTATTACCACGGCCATTGCAAAACCTAGAACAAAGTTTTAACACATGTTATATGGGCTTAATATGATTTTAAAAATTATTTAAAAAATACTATATACAATATCTAGAGTTGAAAAATGTAATATACATATATTAAGTATCAATACATTTAAACTAATTTATATTCTGAATATTTCCATATTACTTTGATGTTTCAATAAATTTGTTGCATAATATTTTATTCTAACCTAAAAATATAAAAGATATCAAACACTAGATATTTTTTATGTAAATAATTAATTCATGCTTGAAGTCATGGATAACAAAATCATATGCTTAATTAATACAAGAAAATTAGATAAAAACAGCAAAATATGGTATAACTGTGCAGTATTAATTTACATAGAACTGGTTTTTAAGTAATACTGCATTAGAATTTAGCCATTTATCAGGAAAATGTAATTGTTATTATTATTGCATGAAGCGCAATTAAATAATAACTTTTAGACTTTCATGCTACACATTTCATGTTTTATAAGCAATGGGAATTAACACAATCATTTAGGTAAACTATGAAATTTTACTTAAAATAAATTAAGTGCAATTAAAGCTATAATTCTGATATTCAATGTTGATGCATGGCAAATTTTTCTAGTATTTAAATATATTTTATTTTGAAAACTTTAAATCGTAGTCTATAAAAATAAAGGTTGAATTTGCAGTGAAGACCTCAGAAGCAAAAGTCTGACTTATATAGTATCTTAGATAATTATCAATAAATCTAATTTTTTTAACAATAGTTTTGTTTTTATATAGTTTAAATAAAAATAAGCTTTGGTTGTAAGAATTAGTGTTTATGACTCACCATTTATTGCATATATTACACATGACAACTGTAGCCGGGTCATGAATACCACAATATTTGCAAGCATGATCAGGCAGTTCTTTGCTGCTATATAGAGCTTCATCTTCTTCTTCAAATTGTAGTTCAGCTATTGTATTTGTTACGCTTGAAACCTTGGAAATCAACTCGGAACGACTCAAGCCATTTACCTAAAAGAAGATTATCAACGTATGACAAAGTTATATCAAACTGAACTAAGGTTAAACAAGCAAACAAAGTGTGTACCATTTAAGTACACGTAAGTTGTAACTTGCCTGGTTGGATGTTGTCAGACCATGCTCATGTTGTGACGCCTGTGTCTGGCTTTGAGATGGAAGAGTAAAGTCGGTGAACTCAAATTCCGAGCCCTGTGTGTCAGCTCCAATAAGATCTGCTTCTTCAGTGTCCAAAAACGTGAGTGTTTGAGAACTTGGTCCATAAGCGTCGACACTCATCTTTACAATGTATAATTTTAAGAATAAAACAAAGAAAATATGTCAAAAAGAATAAATACAGGCCAGTTAAAAGAAACTTCCATAACAACCACGCAATATTTAACAAACGACTCGTGAAGGACGATAGAAATTCGCCATGTTAGCACATGGTTTGTTTCCATTTACAAACATTGCTCATTGGTGATATTTTTATTTGACGTAAAACAAACCAATCAAAAGTGAGTTTCGTGTAATTTACCAATAAAAAACTATATGCAAGTAGTATAAAGTTACAGAAAGAGGAACGCCATAGATATTTAATTCACAGATTAGAGTCTAGCAAGAAGACTTTTACTAAAAAAATTAATTAAAATGAATATAGGTTATTTCATATAAAAATGCCTTAAAATAATATTCAAACAATTGAAGGACGTATCAAATATAATAGAAACGTTGTTTGCTTGGTAATTGTTCAGGTAATACAAACAATGTAAATATAATGATTGACAGCAACAACAGAACAATTGTAAAATTGTACGATACGCTATCATGGTATGTAATCAAACATCACTTTTAGGCATAGACTAAGAATAGTACTTTTACACTATTGTTTAACCGTTTTTCTTCGTTTCTGACATAGGGGTCGATTTTGAGGAGCTTTTTCTCTAAACTAAATAAAGGTTTAGAGTAATGGTGCTCCAAAATTGACCCCATAGAGGGCAAACGAGCATGCCGCACGCCTAATGGTAAATGATTACCGCGCTCATAGTCATGTACAACATCAAAGAAATTATGTGTGCTACCGGCATTTTAAGAAGGAAAATGCTCTTTTTTTGAAGGTTTTAATGTCGTATCTGTTCCAAATACTGCTGTTTAGAATTTTTTGATGATAGATGTAAGTGGAACGGTAACCCCGCTTACGTTATGGGTATACCTTGACGGGACACAAGTAGAGTATGATAGATGACGATGAAGCAGATCAGTTGGCCCATCGTGATGAATTCATAAAAAAATAACTACGGTGATTTTTAGGTAAACAGGATGGAGGTCGACTTGTGCAGCAGTGCTGGAAGTTGGTTCCGTACTTTGGTTGGTGATAGAAAAAAATGTCTACAGAAACACATAGTGGAGGATCGTCACTCATCCAAATTACATTAAGTACGGTGAAATTCAGTAGTTGGTAATAATCCGAATAGTTTCTCTGATTTCTCCAGTTCCGTATCAAATGTTACAAAGGAACTCTTATGACGCGACTTGTCTGTTCATTTGTTTTTTTTTTTTATGTGTGAAAATGGTATGGTAACCCCGCCTGCGCTAACGGGATACGCTGGCGGAGTACCAGTGAAGGGAAGGTAGATGAGAATGAAAACAGGCCAGTTAGCTTGATGATGGCATGACGAATTCATCAGGAATTAACCATGATAGTTTCCAGGGGGAACCGCGAGGAGGTCGACCTGGTTGGGTATATTGCTAGCAATAGGATTCTCAGTCTCCATAACTAACAATCCCTTTCCCCCCTCTGTTCATTTGTTTGTCACAGTGCTAAATCTTAAATAATTATTAACGCTATCGAAAAGTTATCGATGCTATTGGAAGAGTTTGAAATATTTTGGTCTAAATGAACTCGGGAAATAAATGTTTTTTTTTTTTTAATATGATATTTTGATAAAAAGTCCAAAAAATATTCATAATAGACTTATCAGTTATTGAAAGCTTCTTTGTAGCCATGATGTAAATTTAAGTCTGGCCACATATATATGTTGATATTATTTTTCTATATGGTTTTGTTTCTATTCAAATGGTTGTCTCGTCTTGTATCTATACGTATTATATATATTGTTGTTCTAAAGAATATTATTTTTCACTGTGACCCTCTACATTAGTCCAAATGGGGTATAATATACAAATGCTTCAATTGCGCACTCTGAAACTGTTTTTAGGGCTTCGTACCAAAAAGGTTTAAGAAATACAAGTGTTAAATGAATTATGAACAATTAATTGATTAATTTTTATTTATTAAAACAATTATCTAATGTTAAAAAATATACACATGAAAAAAGTCTAAGCAACACATACTATTTTAAATTATTAATCAATTATTATATAATTTCTTACCAAGTAGGTAATACCTATGTAAACTTTTTTAATCTAGAGGACGTATCGGCTGGTTATAAAACAAAATCGAGTATCATTTGTTTTTTTTTTTTCACAAATTCAAAAGCGAATGCATTTGTTCGAATTTTATAGTGTTTTCTTTGCTTAATAAAATTTAGTATTCTGTATCAATTTTATAACTTAAACAATAATTTGAAAAAAGTTTTTAAACAGATTTGAATTTTGAGACATTTTTTACGTCATGGAGCGACGTCATTTGAATACAGATGAAATACAAAGAGCTGTAGGGATGTTGCAAACGGGAAGGAATCAATCTCAGGTATCTCGGTATTTTGGTGTCAACAGAAGCGTTATTTGCCGTCTTCATCAGCGTGTCACTAATACAGGAGATCCTGCTGAGCAGCACCCAGGTCGAGAAAGGTGTATAACCACACGGCAAGATCGATACATACAACTAACTGCAAGACGCCAGCCGATGTTAACCGTCCGAGAGATAAGTTTAAGGCTACAAAATTCAAGTGTTGTTGTTTGCTGCCAAACTGTGCGAAATCAACTGCATGAGTATGGCCTACGAGCACGACGGCCAATTAGGTGCTCACCGATACGTCACGGAAATCGCGTTCGTCGAAATGAATGGTGTAGGGAACACATTACATGGACCCGGAAATAATGGGATCAAATTTTATTTTGCGATGAGTCTCGATTTGGGTTCAAGCCTGTTACTAGAAGGGTAAGAGTGTACCGTCGTCCTGGAAATACTGAAAGACTGAGGTGCGTTCAGGAAGTGCATCCATACAACGGCTCAACAGTTACGGTATGGGCGGGTATTATGAAGAACAGACGAACAGAGCTCGTTTTTGTGAATGAGAACATGAACGCTGTAAATTACGTTTAAGGGTGTTCTAAGGCCTTATGTCCGTTCATTCGCACAAACGCTTGGCTCTGAATTCACGTTGATGCATGACAATGCGCATTGGCATACAGCTTTGCACACACGGAAGTACTTGGCAAGGCAAAACATCCTGGAATTGCCTTGGCCTGCACAATCGCCAAACCTCAACCCCATCGAGCATGCATGGGACATGTTTCATTTCATTGGGAGCTATTGCTGCAGGATAACATTAACAGTATCATCGATTCTATGAATAATCGGTGCCAGCAAGTTCTCCATAACAGAGGAGGCCACACTTTATTTTTATGCAATTTTTGTACAACAATTTAATTTTAGTTTAAGTTTAGTTGATTAGGCACCTTACTTTGTACTACGTACATACAGTACTTAATCGTAATGATTGTTAATTAAGATTATTAAAAAAGGAATAAAAAAAATTATTGTTTAATAAAAAAAAAAAGCATTAAAAAATAATATAAATAAGAAAATACTAAGGATTTAATGCGAAAACACATTGTAAAATTGAAATTTGTATATGTTGCTTTGACTTTTTTGATGTGTGTACAAAGGAAGTTTATGTTGGGTTGATACTGTTGAATGAATGACGTTACAATGACTGCCTGACATAGATAAAGTTATCAGAGATTATGAGTGAAAGCTATGATGGCAGAACAAGCAATTTATTATGATGAAGCCTGTAAAAAAATCCCTGCAGTTACTCGGTCATATGCAGATGTAATAGCCCATCCTCCCCATAGTCAGTCTTCTTCAAGAATCTCTTCTCAGATACAATCTGCTTCTAAAACCAGATCAGAACAATCTATGCAAATTCCCACTACAACATCATATAGAAAAACTGTTATGTCAAAAGCTAAATCCCGCCCTACCTTGTCACCTGGATATGACCGCCAATCACATAATGAAATTGTTAATAGCTATGTGTTTCCCTCTTTCATGCAAAATGGCAGTGCTCTTACTAATAACTCCCTTCCCCCCTCTCCTTCCACTAGAAAATCGCCTCGAGAAACTCCACTTGATACTTTAGAACTAATAATTAATATGTTAACCGCATTTATTACTAATAATAATATCTCTATGCCAGACCACGTTGCAAATAAAATTATGTCTCTTATTAATATAAACTATCAAAATGGCTCTATCAGTTCTTCAATGGAATGCTAGAAGTCTTCGCAACAAGAAACATTAACTATCTTATCTCACTAATAAATACCACCCTACAATCCTATCCATAACTGAATCATGGCTAAAGCCTGGTTCAGTTTTTAATCTTGCTGGATTCTCCAGCTACCGAGATGACAGACATGATGGCTATGCTGGATCTGTCATCTTAGTTGATAACAATCACCCTTGCTCCCCTATTGATCTCCCCTCTCATGATGAAAATATCAATGTTGTTGCAGTTAGAGTTTTGGATATTTCTGTTATTTCTATTTACATAGCTGACCCCCGTCCCTCCCTGATTTCCTACTTAAAGCAAATACTTTTGAATGTACCACCCCCTATTCTCGCTCTGGGTGACTTTAATGGACACCATTTCTTATGGAGCTCTGAAATGTGTGACAACTTTGGATCACTGCTGGCAGAGCTAGTAGATGAACTTAACCTGTGCGTTCTTAATGATGGTTCCCCAACCCGCAGAACACCTCCGAATCAACACAAAAGCTGTGTCGATATCTCTTTGTGTTCACCAGATATAGCATCTCTCTTCCATTGGTCATGTCTCCCTTTGTCGCACAGTAGCGACCATTTTCCCATACTTTTAACCTTACCTTCTAGACTGCTCCCGCAAAAAAATCTTGCTCCATTATTGAAATATCGTACATCTGCGGCTAATTGGGAATCATATTACAAATCGGTAGAGGACAGATCTACTATTTTACCAACAATAAATAAAAAGAACATTTTAGATGCCTATTCCAAATTGATAGAAATGATTGAAAAGAGCGCTAATGAAAATATCCCACTTAAAAAACCTAGTTTCAAAAAATCCTCTCCCCCCTGGTGGGATAAGGACTGCACACAAATGATAACGACACGTAATGAAGCAGAACGCACATATAATACAAACATGACGACTGTCAACCTGCTTAGCTTTCGACACATAACAGCCAAAGTAAAGCGTCTGTTTCATAGGAAGAAGCAGGAAGGTTGGAAACGATTCTGCGATAGCCT